AGAATACGTAAAAAAATAAAGATGATAAGCAATAAAATTACTTATAAAGTTTATAATCGTAGACGGATTTGAAATATCTCCAAAACCGACATTATGTTTCTGTTTACATGCATGTATTGGGAACACTTAGGTATTATTTATAGTCTACCATACGTAAACGCGTTGTCGTCAGTGAAGTATGGGAAACAAATTCGGGATAAACAAGTGCAAGCGTACATACGTGCACTGAATCCGAGTGGAGCGTCGTTGCCGCCGGTGCGGCCGGTGCATTCAGGATCAGCGGTCCAAATCGCACGCTGTCAAGCAAACGTATCAAAAACAAGAGGGAGCGAATGGATGCGGCCGGCTGTTTATAAACATTGGACTAGACGAGATGCGATCAATGCCAATACGGGCACACTCTTAACGGCCGGGGCCACGCCGGCCCCAACCTCACCTGCCTCGCGGAATCAACCGCGTAGATAACACAGTGCACTGGACCGCAGACGCAAGGCGTCGAGTGCAACACGGCGGGAGCAATCACACGGACGTACTGAACGGGCGGCTGACGGCGGCCGTGTGCGCGCCGCCCTAGCGGTTACGTCACTTTGATTTGACAGCTACCGCACGAGGTACGATTGCGACGCCAGCTGAGACCGCGCCGTGGCGCCACTGGCGTCCCGTCGATCAATACTTAGTACGCGTCGCGTTCCACGCTGCGCAGTGCGCAACCGCGCAACCACACGAGACCGTACGAAGACGGGCATCACCGCACCGCCCGCCCTCCTCCCGCTCGCAACCTGCTTCGCTTCGCCGGTGCGGTGAACGATGCGATGCAAAATGTAATGCAACGTAACCATCAAATACAACTTTGGTATTTTTAAAAGTTGCGGTCTTGCGTCCTGCCTAACTATGAAAGCTAGAGCTACTACCGATACCACTCAATATTAACTAATTTAATTTAAAACCTGTTTAACACATCGCGATCACAGTTAAATTCCTGCCCTAAATAAAACATTTTATCTAGCTGATTCTGTTATAGTTATAAAAGTCAAGTCACTATAAAATGAGCATGTGAAAATATGTTTACCACCAATTTACGATTCAATTATTTTTAAGTAATATTTTTATCGATTCATACATTGGCATTGAAGACACTGTTATCTTGGTACCTATGAAATAAAAAGAGTCAACAGATAATATGACCACTAGGGTGCCGATCTGTTATGGCCGAAGCGTAACACGGCCTTGCAGGAACCGGGCGTGAAACAACGCTTGCGTTGTATGTCGTCGACTAAAGCCGCGCGCGTGATACATGCTGACACATTGTGCTCATTTTAAACGTACTTACTGTTTTTTTAATTCATCGTTTTGCTACGTAATACCTATTACATTTTTCCATCGATACGACTGAACAAACACACCGTTATTGAACCAGTGACTGGCGCGTGGCCCCACACGTGGTCCTGCGCTTGATCACGCGACGGGTACCCGTCTCGTGCGTCCGCTTAACGCAGTTTCAGCCCTTAGGGTGCGTCCACATCTGGCGAATGCTCCGCGAATGTGCAGCTCGCGAGCCGCCCCCGAGCTGCGCGCGTGCACATAAAGTTATTATTTATACGAACCTTGTATGAGTTGAGCACCAAACTATTCCCTTGACTACAGTACTTTCGGTAGTTGAGAACGCGTCCTTAGGAGCTCTCGATTTACCTTACCTTTCGTGTCGTACGACTGCCGTGCCGCTGTGTTACCGCTATGGCCTGCGATTGTAGTAGATACACGGTGACTACACTTTAATAGCTACATGATAATGATAACTACGTCATAATAAGTACACACCGACGTCGTAATTGCTGCCGATGACTACGTCGTCGACTATGTCGTGGTTGCCCGAAGGTTGATTGCGAAGACGCGGGTTCGAAACCTATCAACGGCAAGTACCAATGTGACTTTTTCCGAGTTATATGTACTTTCTAAGTTTATTAGACACCACTGACAAGCGGTGAAGGAAAACATTGTGGGGATACCTAATTTCTAATTATAAGTTTGAAATCGCCAAACCCCATTGAGCAAGTGTGAATGCTCAAACCTTCTCCGTGTGAGAAGAGGCCTTTGGTCCGCAGTGACCACTATAGGCTCATGAAGTGATATATGTGTTACTACGTCGTAGTAGCTACACGGTGGTGACAACGATCGTAGTAGTTGTTCGGTGACTACGTCATAGTCGCTACACCATGACTACGTCGTAATAGTGACATAGTGACTACCTACGTCTTAGTTGCTCCGTTGCTCGACGGGAGTAGGTACACGGTGTCAAATTCGTAGTTGATACTTTGAGACTACGTCGTAATAGCTACCATGACAACTATACTGTAGTAGTTACGTGTTGACCATGTCGTCGTTACGTCGTAGTTCCAATCGATGAGTTCGTCGTAGTAGTCGCACGATATTTTCGTCATAGTTGCGACCGGGCAATAAGTTAGCTGCCGGACACTACGTTGTAGTTATCGCCACCGTGTAGCTAACACGGCGGTGATAACGTTCGTAGTAGTTGTTCGGTGAAGCTACGTCGTAGTCGCTACACCATGACTACGTCATAATAGTGATATAGTGACTACGTCTTAGTACCTCCGTTGCTCGACTAGAACTACGCTCGTAGTAGATACACGGTGTCAACAACGTTGTTGTTACACTACCACGTCGTAATATGAGTAGTATCTACCACGACAATTACGTAGTAGTTACTACGGTTGATTACGTGGAATAAGCTACACGGTTGTAACGCCCGTAGTAGTTGCACGGTGACTACGTCGGTTAAACTAAACGGTTGTAACGCCCGTAGTAGTTGCACGGTGACTACGTCGGTTAAGCTAAACGGTTGTAACGCCCGTAGTAGTTGCACGGTGACTACGTCGGTTAAGCTACACGGTTGTAACGCCCATAGTAGTTGCACGGTGACTACGTCGGTTAAGCTACACGGTTGTAACGCCCGTAGTAGTTGCACGGTGTCTATGTCGTAGTTCCTATCCGAGTACGTCGTAGTAGTCGCATAGTGTCTTTGTCGTAGGTGCTACCGGACACTACGTCGTAGTAGCTGCCGGACACTACGTCGTTGTAGCTGCATGCTGAGTACGTCGTAGTTGCTACACTGGAACTACGTCGTAGTTGCTACGCTGGAACTATGTCGTAGTTGCTACACTGGAACTATGTCGTAGTTGCTACACTGAACTATACGACCTAACCTCACTTACACGACAAAACACAACGCAAGCGTTGCTTCACGTCGGTTTTCTGTGAGGCCGTGGTATCACTCCGGCCGAGCCGGCCCATTCGTGCCGAAGCATGGCTCTCCCACATTTTAAACCCGGAACTACGCTCGTAGTAGCTACACGGTGTCAACAAAGTAGTAGCTACGTAGTTGCTTCGTAGTTGCTACCGACCGGTCACTGCATCGTAGTAGGTATTCTGGGACTACGATCGTAATAGCGACACGGCGACAATATCAGAGTGACTACGTGTTAGATGCTACCGATGACTACGTCATAGTTACTATCGATGAGTTTAGTGCAAAACGTCGCATTGGTGCATCTGGCTGAATAATTCCCAGGTGCATAAATGACTACACTTGAGCGAGAGTAACGCACAGATATATGAGTCGAATCATCCCACCTATTCCACCTGTGTAATTAACAACTAAAAGGTGGCTTGAACGGGAATGAACATAAAACATTGTTTCTGGATGGAGAGAAAAATTGCCTTTGGCTTTTGCTCATGAATAACAGTGACACACTATAAAAATATGTGTGTGGGTGAACTGAGAGACCAAACTGTAAATTCACAAAATTAAACCCTAGGATTGAACTGGAGGAAGGATAGTGTAGTAGCTCAAGGGGAACGAACCCATACAAATATGACAAACCACAGTGTTATAGGTAAACCTTTCCGTAGCCCTTATATTCATTTTGGTATCAATCAGAATACCCACTAAACAGTTAGGAGAAGTGGTAGGAGACTAATAATAATTTGAAAAAAAAAGACACCATTTTGAAGCAGACATTGCTTTTATTACTTCATAATAACGTATTACTTGAACTTTTATACACAAAGAAACAAATGGGGACAAGTCGTAAGTTCCAAAACAACTGTTTTAAGAACACTGCCAAGCTCTAGACTCGACTAGACGTCTTTCATTAAACTATTAATATCTTCAAAAAGCGATAATAAATAATAAAACCTACTGAAGTTGCGGAAACGTTATGTTCATTGTGTTCATATATGTTCGTTGTCGCAACCGTCGCAACCGTTGATACTTAGTAACCATTGCGTTGAAATTATGTGATCTAGTTCAACAACCTGATTTATGTCCTATTTGATATTTGTTATAAATCGGATTGTTTTTGTTTCTCACACAACGCATAAGTTCTTAAATACGATAAAATATGTATTATAAAAAAAATATTGCATCTTAATAGATGTATATGAAAATATAAACAGTTGAAGATTAACACTGCTTTGGCTCGTTATTGCTATTGTAAAGCGGTTAAAACTATAAAAAATGGATTACAAAATGCTCAATGTGTTACGGCATAACATTATGGCACTTTGATGATCTAACACTTAAATCATGAAACTGTAATCTTAATCACTATGACACCGCGGGCGCTAGTCGAAGTTTAACAAATAAAAAACAGCAGCTTGGCAGTAATTATTATGGGGGGCAGTAGAAATTAAAAATCTCAAAAACTTTCACAAGCTTTACACACTGGCATCAATAAAAAAGAAAAGCAGGTACACCGTCAACTTTGTTCACGACTTGTCCACGTGTTTCGTACAAATCTAGAGTGAAAAGAGAATAGAGGAAACATTGGCAGTGTTTATAAAATGGCACTACATACAAAGACATTTACGGAGAGGTCTATATAGTGTTCTATACAACATTCGACGGTGATCAGTACCAGTTCCAACAGACAGTCGTATTGTTCGCAGTTGTTAACTAGATAATATGGTTATTGTAGGCAGCTTCAGTACACTTTCAGTTGATTCTTGTCGTCGAAACCAGCCGAGTGACCGGCGTTGCGGACGATGAAGGAATTGCCGTCGAAGTGCATCCGCCTCTCACCACGTCTGTTTAAAAGTACCAAGGATTACTAACTACTCTTTGTTATATTCCAAGTTAGAGAGGATCGCTGCAATGTCATGTCATAATGTCTCTATAATAGGTATTCTTACTACGGCTACTGTTCACGTAGTTGCGCTTCATGCGTATGCTTTTATTTTGGCAAATGCTTGCATTTTACATTTTACATAGAAACAACCAAAATTATTTGTAGGTAGCATGCATTCATCAAATGGCCCGTGCGTTGCGTCGTGGACATTAGGCCTTCCTCTCTCAGACATTCTCTTCATACCTAATGGTATGTCTCTCATCCATCAAGCTAGTTAGCTTGTTTAGTTTAGTTAAACCGACCAGATAAAACAAAATAGTAGATACTTACTTTAAAACTTAAGCGGGTCCGGTGTGCTTTGTAAAGCTTTTAATTAGAACATTTGCGTCCGCTCGCATTTTGTGGTATACTAACATACTAAATGCTTATTGCTCTCTCTCCAGGTAATATTTGAATACACCATATGTTTTAAGAGATGAAATAAAGGAGACCTTACCTAACAAAGAGATGTTGAGTTTGGCCTAGTGAAGCGGTACAGTGCAGGAACGGACTCGTGATGGACGCGGACCCGTTGCTTGGGCTGGTGCGCAGCTGGTACTTGTGGCTGCATCGGTGAATCCTTCAACAATTATGCATTGTACTGTATCAATAATGTCAAGACAGCTAATGTAACGGTAAGTTTGTGATTTCTAGAGTGGACTCTATTCTCGTAAATTGGGTTGTTTCTTCAGTTAAAAATTAATATTTCCAACTTTAATAATTCATTAGATATACTCGTAACTCGTGCGTGAGTGCGTTCCCGCTTTTTGAGGATTAGGGATTTCGGAAAAGATTGGATGTCCGGTAACCTTACTTACATTACCTACATGGCAAACACAACGCAAGTATAGTACGGAAGGTTTTTAAGTTTATCGATATTTTTATCTATTATCTTCCGCCCCGGCTGCAGGCAGGTGATGCTCTTTGGAAAATTTCGCAACACATACTACAAAACCAAATCAGTAATTCACATGAGATGCAACATCCAGGCAAATGTTTATAAATAAGTAAGTAGGTACTCGATATTCTGTCCCACCAATAACTTGACAATGGAATCGACGAACAAAAACGTGGATACAAATTCATATGCAACATCGCGTATTGTACACAGTTGTAGATAACGTCTGCTCCCAATTAAAAAAACTGAATAGTGAAGGACTGCGAGCTCTGTAACTGGCACTACAGTTACATGGAGAGCACATACAGTGTATGGTTCACCACAGGTCTACTCTTACATATTCATGTCTCAAGTGTGTATTTTCATCGCGGTTATTTTTTAATACGCTGTACTGCATTATTCTGAATTTGTAAAAAAAAAATTGACTGTAAATACATAAAACGATATTTGTACTGGGTATATTGACTATTGCTGCACGCAGTGCTCTTGCTATATTTAGAATTGTGAGGTATTTATGTAGCTCTTAGACAAACTGTACTGACAATTTTTCCAGTTAATTTTAATACTATCTTACATAATACAATCTGTTACAGCCCTGATTAATTTTATCAGTCTATGAATTAAATACTGATGAACGGTTGGGTCGGCAACCAGACCGATACCGCGGCCACCCAGAAAACTAGCGCTCGGCGTGATACAACGCTTGCATTGTATTTCACCGTAGAAGGAACCCGAATCCCAAACCTCCCCATTTTCTCTCTCTCTATTGTTAACCCCAAAATCTGCAATCGGAAATCCCTAAGCACTCTGGTGTTGCAGGTGTTCATGAGGGCGCCAATTGCTTACCATTAAGTGATACCTTTTTATGACTAAGGATGATCATCCAAAGCGCCTAACTTTTTGGAAAGAAGGACACGTGAGCACACTTGTAGTCTTTATACCCAAAAAGCTGGTTCACCGGATCTCAGTAGCCATCACCTTCACCCATATCCATTAACTTATATCTACGATAGAGTGTTTGCCGCCCTATCAAATAAAACATTCTGTTCCTATACTCGGAATTTTAATTCGATTCCAGATTTGACAATTTCAGTGTGGCAACGTTATGACAAGTACTAAATAGTGACGTTGCGAAATTATTCGATATGGAAATGTAATATTTCTGGATCGATTCTTCTCGTTTATAATAATTATAATTTTACTCTCGTGAACTAAGTATATCAGGAAATTAAACATTTCTGAACTGAAATTTAGTTTTGACGATTAATTAACGATCTGAGACGTTTCTTTTATAATTGTGTGTGAAATAAATAAAAAAATGTAATCATGAAGGAACATGACAAATAAAACAGATAGATGTATTATGGTAATAAGTTATTTTATAAATTGTCGCCGTCATCGCTATCGCTATTCTGTCACTTTCTGTAACATTTATTATAAAACACACACACTGATTGTTTATCGATTTTTGTGTGCATCACTACACTATTATATGTGGTATCATTATTTCACAAAATGACAGTAGCTATTGTCAAATCTGGAATCTAATTAAAATTCTGACTATAGTAAACAAACTTTCCGAAAGCTCGTGGTAATGTTAGACCAAATAAGCTTTTCTTTCCGTTCTCATGACACCCAGACGGTCCGTCTACCGATTAATGGAAGCATAGTTTATTTTCATGTTACGTGTAATGCACTGTTTTGTTTGGGTCGGTACGAGTTTTGTGATGCATCTGTGACATGTTATTTTTTAACCGACTTCAAAAAAAGGAGGAGGTTCTCAATTCGACCGTATATATGCTTTTTTTTTTTTTATGTTTGTTCGCCGATATCTCCGTTGTTTATAAACCGATTTTGAAAATTCTTTTTTTGTTAGAAAGGAGATAGTTCCAGAATGGTCCCATGATAAGGAAATCAGGATCTGATGATGGAAGACCAGGGAAACCGAGGGGAACTTTTAAAAATTATAGGGGTGACTAGGGCATTTGTTAATTTTTCCATTAAGTATTAAAAACCACTACAATCTGATAAAGGTCTGGAGCCGATCTGATGATGGAGCCGAGAGCCAGTTGAGGGAACTCCTCAACGGTTAACAGTAGCTACCTTGTGTTTGGGTTTGATTAATTTGTATTGATGAGGACTTTACACCTGAGTGGGGTGTAATTGTCAATAAGGGTCTGATGATGAAGTAGTACGATAGTTCAGGGAACTCCTTAACGGTTAACAGTAGCTACCTTGTGTTTGGGTTTGATTAATTTGTATTAATGAGGACTTTACACCTGAGTAGAGTGTAATTGACAATAAGGGTCTGATGATGAAGTAGTACGATAGTTGAGGGAACTCCTCAAAGGTTAACACTAGCTACCTTGTGTTTGGGTTTGATTAATTTGTATTGATGAGTACCTTACACCTGAGTGGGGTGTAATTGTCAATAAGGGTCTGATGATGAAGTAGTACGATAGTTGAGGGAACTCCTCAACGGTTAACAGTAGCTACCTTGTGTTTGGGTTTGATTAATTTGTATTGATGAGGACTTTACACCTGAGTGGGGTGTAATTGTCAATAAGGGTCTGATGATGAAGTAGTACGATAGTTGAGGGAACTCCTCAACGGTTAACAGTAGCTACTTTGTGTTTGGGTTTGATTAATTTGTATTGATGAGGACTTTACACCTGAGTGGGGTGTAATTGACAATAAGGGTCTGATGATGAAGTAGTACGATAGTTGAGGGAACTCCTCAACGGTTAACAGTAGCTACTTTGTGTTTGGGTTTGATTAATTTGTATTAATGAGGACTTTACACCTGAGTGGGGTGTAATTGACAATGAGGGTCTGATGATGAAGTAATACGATAGTTGAGGGAACTCCTCAAAGGTTAACACTAGCTACCTTGTGTTTGGGTTTGATTAATTTGTATTGATGAGGACTTTACACCTAAGTGGGGTGTAATTGTCAATAAGGGTCTGATGATGAAGTAGTACGATAGTTGAGGGAACTCCTCAACGGTTAACAGTAGCTACCTTGTGTTTGGGTTTGATTAATTTGTATTGATGAGGACTTTACACCTGAGTGGGGTGTAATTGTCAATAATGGTCTGATGATGTAGTAGTACGATAGTTGAGGGAACTCCTCAACGGTTAACAGTAGCTACTTTGTGTTTGGGTTTGATTAATTTGTATTGATGAGGACTTTACACCTGAGTGCGGTGTAATTGTCAATAAGGGTCTGATGATGAAGTAGTACGATAGTTGAGGGAACTCCTTAACGGTTAACAGTAGCTATTTTGTGTTTAGGTTTGATTAATTTGTATTGATGAGGACTTTACACCTAGATGGGGGGGGGGGGGGTGATGGTCATTAAAGGTCCAATGACGAAGTAGTATGATAGCTAAGGGACTCCTCAATGGTTAAGAGTACCCACCCGGTGTTTGAACTTGCATAATTTGTATTGATGAAAACTTTGCATCCATGTGGGTTTTGTATAATATAATATATCAAAGTACTAAACTAAAAAGTATAAAATAAAATTAAAAAACTGCGTTTAAAAAAACCGACTTCAAAAACAAATGACAAACAAAAAGTAAAAACTAAAAAGGAAAAAAAAACTATTAGTGGTCATACGTACTTACAGCTTACACACCCACTGATAGGTTAGAAGTCGGTGCCACAAACCCACAATAAAATATAAAGTAGACAAAAGTCACAGCTGGTATAATCCATAATAAAATTGTAAACAGCTCTATAATGTTAGGTATCTATTAAGGTTTTAATGAATATAAATAATAATTAGGTTTAAAACTTGTGGCACCGACTTCTAACCTATCAGTGGGTGTGTAAGCTGTAAGTACGTATGACCACTAATAGTTTTTTTTTCCTTTTTAGTTTTTACTTTTTGTTTGTCATTTGTTTTTGAAGTCGGTTTTTTTAAACGCAGTTTTTTAATTTTTTAATTGGTTTGCTTTTCCGTTTTTACAAAACTTTTGCATTTCTCATAAATCTCTATTTTGTAGACTAATCGGATCAGAGTAGAATCAAAAATATTTAGCACCAAAAGTCCTTTTTTAATTATTTTTCTTACCAGATTTATGATTATGTATGAAATTATTCGCTTTAGGTACCCACACCGTGAATCCAGAAGCATAAGAGTATATTTGTATAATTCGGTTGATTCCTTCACACATTGCCAGTTGTGCGTTAAACCAAGTTAAACCTAACGACTCTAAAGGAGTTAGTAGTTATGTAAGTCCGTATTAAGTCGGATTAATTAAATAGAAGTGAGCTGCTAACGCGTCCCTTAACGTATGTCTTTTATATGGCTTCTGTAATTGCATAAGTACTTTTGTGCTTCGAATACAAGATAATGACAATTTCCAAACCTGGACCTATCAAACCACAACTGTCTTGTTTCCTTCTGCACTATACTACAGAACTTTCTTACCTATTTATCGTCCTTAATTATTCATGATTGAAGTTTGACACTCAAAATTTCAACTACATTATGAAACCTATAAATTCTTGCGAGGTAATCGTACTATAGGACATAATGTAGGGTGTAGGAGTAGATGAAGGTACGCTTTTGATAAAAAAACTTATTTGTCGTGGTACCTGACGAGTCCATCCGCAGTTTGACTGACGCGTACGTTGTTGATGATCCAGTTGTCAATGCCATCATCGGTCAGCCAGTACTGCGCGGCCTGCAGCAGCGACAGTGCTTCATTCACGTACGACGGCCCATGGCGGGACTCGCTGCAATTAATCACTTATTAACACCTCGTCACAATAATTTTAGTCTTTTAAACAAAAGACATCCAGGATATTATCAGAGCAATATCCAAATTATTGGAAAAATTATCTATTGAATAAAATCATAAGAAAAAATTATACGGAAAATTTTACTCGTCGAATATCGTACCACAAAGTACCTACAATAACAAAAACGAAACACTAATACAAGCTAAAGAACTTTGTGCTTATTACCATATACTTAATTTGATGTTGCATAACGTCGGGCAAGTGAAAGATATTTCAATGTTTTAAAACAAACTAGTGGAATAATAATATTTTAGTTCACTATTGTAAACCGCTCAGGAATTTACATTTACATTCACCAGTGAATACTAAGTTACAACATTAAGTTTCAATCCTATAATTTTACTTATTATTTCATTTCATCACTCTCCGTTGTCCATACACAAGATAATTATTATTTGTAAAAAAGTTCCATGTTAAAATCCCCAATGGCCTAGTGGTCTCAAAAGTGACTGTTTATCAGTGGAAGAGATTTCTGCTTATTACTAGCAAAGTATTTAAATTAACGCTTACTTTACTGACATAATTATTACAATAACATTATGACAACTTATACGTACCTGTTACTTTGTTTGTATCTGCACTCTGTTTTAGTGGGGATTTTCAGCAAAATGGTTATGAGCTTTATAATGATACTTAAATGTTTGATATCATGAGGGTAATCAGTGCCCAACAACATTCCTATACCTTTTCTATGTATTGTAGATTATGGTAATTAATATGGTACGGTAGGTTTTTTTTTCCTTTTTTAAAAACTTTGCCCCACACTTTTTTTTTAAGGGGCGAAAATCATTTCTGAATTCCGGAATTCCTGCTCCCGCCTGGGTGAGGCGAGAGCTAGTGTCAGACTCTTACTGACTAAAAACCACCCCGTTCCTTATCCTGCACGTCCAACCGGAGCCCCGGTAACGCGTTAGGTTCTCCGCGACTTGCTCCACACTACGATTTTCTCCTTTGTTGTGGGTGTGTTTACAAACATACAATTTCACACACACTCAGACCCGGAACAACAATTTGTGGATCACATAAGGAGTTGCCCAGTGCGGGAATCGAACTCGCTACTCGTTGCACGGCAGCCACCTGCCCACCCGCCGCACCAACCGTGCAGTCAAATGAAATCAACGAATCTAAAGGTGATTTTCCTTTAGTTTTTTTAATGTCGATCAGTCAACAAGTTTGAAGCTAGCGCATTCAGTTGGTAGTCCAATATGTGTGTGATAATGGCAATTATATTAGATAGCCTTACTTGTAGAAGACATTAAGGGTGAAGTCCTGACTCATGTCAAGGAAAGTATCGGTGGTGGTGCGCGTGCCAGCTGCGTCCACCAAGTACACCAGCGCACACTGTTCCGCAGTGAATGACACACCCTTGTACCACATCTTCGCATACCTAAAATATCCAGTAAGTGAATATTATCTATACAAAAAGGTTCTTTTCAAACTACTCTATACTAGGTAGGTATAACAGCATCACATAGGATGTACTTCACAGGCTATAGCACTACAATATCGCGCACCATATACTATTTGCTATAATCGCTGTCAAATTTTACTGTACTCTACATAATATTATTGTCCTTCATACATGTATATGTATACGTGTACACCTATCTTGTATACTATACACTTAGCACAGTAATATAGTGTAGTTCCGTAAAGAGCTTATCACAATTACTGTACCGTAAGCTATAGATATCTGTAACTGAAGCTAACCTACCATTTTGCGTTATAGTCCGTAGATATTATGACCCAAAAAGGTATGCGAAATACATTTACATACACAGTTGCCATACATTAATTTACTTACCAAAAATGTACGCTGTCTAACTAAAATCGGAACTGTTTTTTCGAATACAAAACCTGCTGTAGGTAAGCAACTATGTATACCGTTTACTTGTTGAGACAGTTTTATCTTTAGATTTACTATTTTTGGTTAAAAATACGAACCGGGTCTGATGTACATCTATAATAGTTTCTTGGAAAGAAGACACATACCAACCAGTATCAAGTTCAAGGGAAACATAATAAATCTCTTTCAATTTAAACTTACCTGTAAAGTGTGGTATAAAATAATAGGAGACAATAATAGAGGCCTAACGACTACGACGCATTATTTAACGAATGCATGCAATCTACAAAATGACAACAGGTGGCCTACAAATGGCAAATTCTTGAAACAAAGAAAACGGCATGTTCAAGAAGTGGCAATTAGGCCGCCTAGGATAGTCATTTGTAGGTTGCATGCAACCATCAAACACGCGTCGCTTGTGAACAGTAGGCCTTACTTGTATATGAATAAGTATTGATTTATAGACTTGTTGAACTGTTGTTACCCAGCCGTCCAGGCTTTTACTGAAAATTAGGTCAGGCCACAAATGCGGACACCAGGAATAAGGTTGCACTTTGTACCTAACAAGCCTTTAACGTTGCCATCGTCTAGTAGATTTAAAACACTAATTTGCTACACCACTCACTCTCACGAAATGAGAACAGTCAAGCTGATAATAAGTTTTGGCAGCATATCTTTCTTCATAATCTGAAAGTGCCTTCTTCTCGTGTCCAATTTATCTTAGGTTTCGCTACTTAAGTTGTTGGTGTTTATTAAACACCGCAGGAGATCGCAGCCAACCTATTTCTGCAGTTAGCAAGTTTATACGATTAACTACCACCTCATTTATTTTAACGTTACTGTAGGTAACTTATTTTAACTGGTTGAATTGATAGTGATGTTATACTGACTTGTTATTGCCCTGTTGGTGGCGGGCCTGGATCTCAACTCTGGATCCGTAGTGGTAGACTCGTCCGTTTGGGTGGATCAGTGCTGCAGCTGCGCCAGAGCGCGACAACGCCAAGATAATGTTATTCTTAGCATTGGTTACGCGTACAGCTCCGTCGATGGTCATATCCACTCTATATAAATCGAAATATAATCATCAGCCAGGTAAGCAAGGTCACTACGTGAAGCGACCGCAAATTGTGGTGCACGTAACTTTTGGTTTGCACCAAATTTTAAGAGAAGATGAAGCGAAGATTTCTTGTATCCATAAGTGTAAAATTAATCTGCAATAATATAATTGTCTAATAGATGCGCGCCACTCTAAAAAATGTAAACTATACTTTCTAAAACGAACCGTAGGTATTCATTACAATGACAATGCCAGAAATTCCATAGAACTCTGACCCACCATATAAGTTATAGCATGTACAGAGATGCCAAATATACTATAGCCATTGTTTTTTTTTTAAATTGAATATTACTTCGCGGCATTTGTTTACCTGTGCCGTAGGTTTTTAACCAACAATTTCACATACTATGTGTATGTGTATACACCCAGACCCGAAACAACAATTTGTGCCACACAAAGAATAGCTCTGTGTGGGAATCAAACCCGTTACATTTAAATCCAAATTTTAATTAACTTGTACGCCGAATCATATGGTCAACATAATGTTGATATGGCAGCGACTGCCTGATTGAAAGAATGACATTTTGACATTATTAATAACACATCAATGACATTTCGTTACCTACATGGAATCACTAAGGGCTAATTGCATTGCAGTAGAAATATTATTAAAATTCCGGAACTGTCTATGTTTTAACCTCTTGTATATACAAACAATAGAAAACGCATTGTGTCTCGCGTAGATCTATATACGCTCCGACATACCAGAGGTTAAACCACTTTTTAGGGGGAAAATCATCGAATTAGTTACTTCTCCCGCCTGGGTGAAGCGGTAGGGACTCTTACTGACTACTCCGTTCCTACTCCTGCCCTTCGAGCCGGAGCCCCGGTAACCCGTCAAGTTCTCCGCGGCTTCGTGCCGGCATCAGCCCTATCGGACCCCATCCGTGGTGGTCTGATGGCTTTGAGGTGCGCGCGCACCGCATCGCGCCGCACGCCCATGCTTACGTTTGCCGGATATCGTCCCGCGATCCCCGACGCCCCGAGTGTCCTTCGCTATGGCTAGGGCGTGAGGATCTACTCACGCGCCCATGATTGCTTCGCAGAAAGAGGAGACGGTTACGGACGTTTACGAAGACGTTAAACGGAGAGGTTAAACCACTGAACCAATTTTTAGTGAAATTCGGTACATCGATAGTTTAAGATCTGAGATAGAAGCTGTTAGTTTTATCCTGAAAATTCCACAGGAACGGGAACTATGTGTTTCATAGTGTCTATCTGGTCACGACCGTGCCACGTGCCGGTAACGTACCATTTTACGGCGCCGGTGCCGTACCCGTGATGATGGGGCCACGCCTTTACGTAACGCAAGAGTCTTAATATTATTTTTATTGAATAGTTTTAATATTTTGCATTTCTAGTATATACGGACTGAATCAGGATCTGGCATTGTCATTTCATTAGAGTTCACAGCACATAGGATTGGTGGTTTACATCTTACATTCACTTTCAAATAGTCGATATTTGTAATTGTACTTAAAGGTATATTCTTAATGGTTAATTCACCGTCAAGTCACATCATCCGCCTGTTAAAAAAAAATTCTATACTCCTAGTACAATTTTGTTCTCACAGGTCAGTGACACGTCATTGCTACACACACCTCATCACTGATGGTACACATAATTATGTGTTCAATCAATGATTCGGCCAAACCGGAGCGGTGACGTGACTGACGAACGACGTGATGAAGACTAGTGTTTGAGTATACGTACACAAAACCTTTTTCAAATTCTTTGTTTTTAGGTCAACTAGCCGCACTTACTTGACTCTGTCTCTCAGGCGGAGGCAGACGGTGCCATGAGGCGTGACCGAAGCATTGTATCCAGCGCCCCCGACTACGTCAGTCATCTATATAAAGTACCATAATAATTATCACGATTATTGCTGTTGTGTATCATATAATTTGCTACACATGAAAAGTGTCGAACATCAACTTATATATTTAGAAAGGCTTTTTTTGCACAAGTGGGTCTCACAAGTTTGTTTATTAAACTGTATAAGGTGTGGTATGACGTCATTAACTATCCAACATCCGTGCTACCCCCTCGTGGAACAACTTAAAAGTCAATAGATACAACTGACAGTGCAGTAATATAACGTATCCGCGTCCAATGCACTAGAAAGTGCTAGTGTTAAAGTGTCAGTGTCATGAAATCGATACTGGTACCAAGGTTATAGAACAAGGTTGTAGTACGCCGATGTGCATGACGACTCTTAAAGCAAAACCAAGTCGCTGGATCATTAGTGGCTCACTATCCAAAATAGGCTATATTTTGATCTTAGGTACTTACTTAATGTAACTCATATTTCAAATGCTAAAGTTTGTGTGTATGTGTGTTACTTAATCACGTCAAAACGACTGAAGGGATCGATATGAAATTTGAAACAGTGGTAGATTATAGTGTGGAGTACCACATAGGATACTTTTTACCGACTTCGAAAAAATGAGGGCGTACTATATTCGGCTTATTGTTTTTTTTAAACACCGGAACGCAGGCGAAACCAGTGGCAGAAGTTAGAATAAAATCCTTACTTATATTATAAATCGGAAAGTGAGTTTGTTTGTTTGTTTGTTCCACTTTAACGCCGTAACTACTAAACCGATTGCTTTGAAATTTTGCAGACGTAAAGTTACAAGTCCGGATTAAATAATAGGGTACTTTTTATCCCTGAAAAATTTGATATTTCCGAGGGAAAACAAAAGTATTGGTATAGATGGCGCTGTGTGTTTTGGTATAATGTCACATTGGCTTTTTATCCTTTTGTGACGCGTGCGAAGCCGCGGGTAAATGCTAGTGATAAAAGTGTTTCACGTAGTATCATACAAAACGTCACGGCTTAATCCACATAGGGGTAGGTAGAGCTCCACTTTCACCAGTATACGGTCACTAGTTACTCCCGCGCGGTTTCACCCGCTGCTCTGCTCCTATTCATCATAACGTCCAGTTTTATTAGTATTATATTGTAGCCTTCCTCGGCAAATGGACTATATAACACGAAACATATTATTTCAAATCGAACCAGTAGTGCGTACGTTTATATAGTGTCCCATTTATTTTGAAATAAAATGTAAACATACCTCCAGCTCCCGCCAAGTATCAGCATGATAAATATCATCCCCTGGGTAGAAAGGCGCCTTGCGCTGCAGAGGAGCGCGCCATGGTGGCTGCCAACCTGCAGCGCCCACCAGCTCAGCTTGCCCGAGACCACCCTCAAGAAACTTGCTGTAGTCTTGGAAGGCGGACAAGTTGGACTCCTCCTGAACCAGACGAATTTATTTTTAGTAAATACTCAGAAACATGACCCGCTTTTATCATTACTTTGAGATAATCCTATAGCATTTAAATGAATTCTAGCTTTCGATTGCCAAATCAATTATTTAAATCCTAAGACATTCATTGTTTGCTGGTTTTTAAAAAAGGCACAGTATGACAATTTTCAACTGCATAAACTTTTTAAGAGGGGGGAGGGGGGTAAACCAGTGGCCCCTCCCGCCTTATGTGAGACGAGAGGGAGCGTCAGAATCATACTGACTAAAAACCACTCTGTTTCCTACTCCTGCTTTAAACCGGAGCCCCGGAAACTCTTTAGAATGTTCACAGTCACAGTGGCAAGAGTGGTAAGCTTTTTCAGATAAAATTTTAAGTCCTTAGTAGCGCTTTGGCATAGTGAATCATAGTTATGATACCTTCCAAACAGAAGTAGTCTAATCTGTGGTGGAAGTGCGTCCAACGGCCATACATTACCGTACCATATGTTAATAAATGGAGAACCCCGGGACAGAATTTAATGAACTTTGGCCCAGTGAACTATGACTGTGATACCTTTCAAACAGAAGTACTTGTAGCCGTGGCAGAGCTGGGTGTACTATGCCCACTGTCGTTTATAAATATCCACTAAAATGAAATCATCTATAAGCAATATCCTGGGAAAAAAGTAAAGGTTACCCTGCTGAAAAAGAAAGGGTCAGACAACAGAGAGCTAGATATTTTGTCTCCATCTTCATTCACGTATGTGACATGACCAATGATGTCATGAAAAGTAGGTACGCGCTAAATGGCAGCAATTGACCGGCTGTTTGTTCAATATTCTCAACTGCACTTAAAAAAAATTTAATAGACATCTCTTTTATGGAATAGGATGGAAACGAGCAGACAGACCACCTAATGGTAAGCAATCAGAGTCGCCCATGGAAGCCCGAACAGCCACAGGTTTCTGGCGTTTAAAAATACGTCCTTTTCTTGAAGGTTTGAAAGTCGTATCGGCTGGGAAATATCGCTGACAACAGATGATCCCACAGTTTTACTTTGCGAGGTAGGGACTAAAAATGTCTCTGATAAACCTGTACTTGTTAAACTGCATTGTCCAATCCGCCTATCAATCGCAGATATGACAAGCCCCTTCTATGGAGAGGAGGCTGTGTGAAAATGAAGGGGTTCTCAATTTCACCTGCATGCATTTAAGTACGTACATATTATCTTTGACCGCGATTATATTACAATTGAATCATTGTCATCAACAGCTTATAAATGCCCACTGTTAACCACGCTTCGCGGGTTGGGAATTGCAACTTATAATTAGAAATTATAAGCCCAGGTTTCCTCACAATGTTTTCCTTCGACGTTTGTCAGAGGATCTAGAGAATCTTAAAAAGTAGGTACATTTTAACTCGGAAAACGTCACATTGGTACTTGCCGTTGGTAGATTTCGAACCTGCACTCTCATGCATGAGAACCGGGCGTCCTTAACCTCCGGGCTACCACGATTGAATGACCCAAGTTAAAGCAGTTTTTAAGAAAAAAAATTGATACAGAGTAACTTTTAGTATACTATCATCAACCGATTTTGAGGTTGTTGAAGTCGGTTTTTTTAAAGGAAGTTTATTTGAACTATATATTACACTAAGTTACTGTCATTAACCTGAATACATGCCCCTCAATATTAACCTACGGCATGATCCTGATGAAAATAATTTTGCGCAATTGATTACCAGTAACACGTTATATTGCGTAACTATAAGGTATACGAACCGTGAGCGCCTTTCTTTTGCTCGCGGCAAAACTGCAATTTGTCATTTTGTCGCTCATTCGAAGTAAAAAACCCACGAAACGATGGTACTTCCTATTCCTACGCAATATTGCAGATTGCGGCGCTCATTACTTACTTACTATCATTTGATCCTTCTGCTTGTTTGCCGTTCAACCCCATAAAAAAACCTCGACAATTTTACTTTTTAGACGTCATATTTCAATTTATTTCAACACTCCTACTACATAGAGGAGACTCGTACCCCAGCAGTGAACTATAATATTATCCATCCAATCTATATTAGACAATGACATACGCACTTAGCGCCAACTTTCTCGTACCCCTTGTGTGTTTAGCTCCTGATATCTTATGGAACATCGTGCCCATAGGTAAGGGTAATGTTTTCAAGATAGGTACCTTTTAAACGCCAATATTTGCAGCTTATGAGATGGACTGCAAATATAGCATATTACTACAAAACCTATGAAGCATCCCTTACGAACTTACGACTGCTGCTGTTCTATATGACCTAAATTAATTGTACAATCCAAGGAATCTTATTCTAATCATAATTAATGACCCATTTACTGCAAGTAGGTACTATTAACGGTTTGCTAATCAATGTATAAAATCACATCACCTGATTGTAGGAGTGCGCTGTATAGACACTTCTTGGTCGGACAGGCATCGTCACATCCTTTCTAAAATCTGCATTTGCCATTTTAATACTTCTTCAACTTATAACTGTTAAGGTTTATACACTATTTTAAAAAATACATGAACAACAGTGACTATCGACACTGGAAAATGCTACATAATATAAATCATACTTCGCGGTAGGAAAGTAATAGAAGAAGTCATTTGTCATTTATTTCCTTCCCTATTCGAAATTCAAATTACTTTCTCTATGGCGATGACTTTATATTCAAAAATATTACTGGCTATATTACATATTACACTAAACTCTTTTTACAAAGTACAAGGTGTGTCAAACAAGGTCTATTTGGTAGGGTATAAAACAGTCTAACATGTATACCCTTACCCTGCTTATAAAATTACATGTCTTGACTGACTAACTGATTCGTCCATCATCACCAACAGCATACTATCAATGATACAAGTAAATTATAAACATGAAATTCATATAACTGTATATTCACTTTGTTAACCAAACCTATGATTTAGAGATGGATATAATCAACTTCCAAGCGAATAAAACCGGGGAACACCGCTAATCAAATGATAAAACCGAACCGCAAAACCCCGGGGTACAAATATCGGAGTAAAATCGTTCACGTTACTCAGATCCGGGAAGGATCCGGGTGTTCTACCTTAGTTACGCTGTATGTAACAAATCCCTTGATCAGAATGTCGGAAACGATGTTTTTGCCCGATTTGCAGATACTTTTGAAATAGCCGTTACATGACCTGGGCATCCCCAATGCGGGACACAACGACGTCGATGACAACATCGCACCGGAGGTGACCAAAGTAGACCTGAGAATGGTGGTGCGCTGAGCGCCAAGAACACTGCCTGAAGCCCCAACAGATTGCCTAGCGAGGCGAGGCTGCGAGGTTCCAGGCCTTAGAGGCTCTCAGGACTCGACTTAGCGCTTTCCGCTATCATGGACGGCTGGTAGACTAATCCTCGTGAAGAAGCCTTGGCCCCTGCGGATTCTCCGTCCGCGTACGTGCAGCACGACAACGTGAATTAGAAGTCGGCGCCATAAGTTCTATACAAAATTATTCTTTAGAACCTTAATAGATATCTTTTTTTATTTTATTGATGTCAGGGGGAAACCTTCAAAAGGCGCCTAGCTTTTTGAGGAGCAAGACTAGGGAATGTGGGATTCTTACCTCACTACAACCACCCCGGTGGCCACCCTCAGTACCTGTAACGGGGCACCGGGTCCTCTAAAGAGACCTGCTCCGGAGCCCACGATGCAACGTCTGATACAGCACATCCCTAGGGAGACGAGCGTGTCCCTTGATCATCGCTTTGCGTGACCACTGTGCTACCGCCTTCCCTGAGGCCACTAGATGGGCACCTAGAGTCCCCACTCTGTGCACCCGTGGCCCCTAAGGTCCGCCTGCATTTCATACAAGCGGGATTGCGGCGTGTCAAGGCGGTTGCGTCTTCGACGCCTTCTACGAGCAGGATCGGCTATCTCGCGATTCCGCTCAGCAGCCTCCTTTTGGGACATTACAGTCTCACAAAAGGAGGCCACTTCCCTCCAGTTTTCTGTCTCTGCCAGCATAGCCCGATCTTGGCAACCAGGACCCGCCGCTCAGAGGCCCACGCTGGGCACTCCTCGAGCGTGTGCTGTGCGGAATCCAGGTCACCTCGGCAGTGGTGGCATTTTGCCGTGGCCTCACGCCCAATCCTGTTCAGGTACTCACCGAAACAACCATGCCCGGTTACTACTAGGTACTAATAATAGTTATTTTTTGCTTTTTAGTTTTTACTTTTTGTTTTGTTATTAGTTTTTGGTTTTTTAAAGTCGGTTTTTTTAGTTTTTGTTTTTTTTATTTTATCAAATTAATCAAGCCCAAATACAATGTAGTTACTGCACACCCGACGGATAGGAGGCCGGACCTCACAAACGACCAGCTCGGCTTCCGCAAAGACCGCTCCGCGGTTAATGAATGCCATCATGTGCGAGAGGAACTTCACGACGGAGACTGCTGGTAGTGTTCAGCAATAAGGTCGTCGTGGCAGTGCCTTTACACATCGCCAACGCCTTTAACTCCTAGACCTGGAGCTGCATTTTGGAAGTTCTACGGTATCACTGGGTGCCTGCCCACCTCCTCCGTCGTGTAATCAAAATCTGTGGATATCATCTATCATCTGAAACCGCGCTATGTTCTACAAGAATCGGACCTGGGACCGCTCCTACAATCCGCTAGGCCGTCTGCAGGTTCAGATATCCGTCTCGCCTGGTGGTATGAGATGAAGCGGTCTACGATGGTGTACTGCACAGATTACATGATTACCCATAAGCAAACTATTCACTCGGGCTTTGAAGACACCCTTTAGGAAACACACCATAGCGGCATAGCCAATACCAATAATATTCCGGATATTAGCCTATACATGATTATGATTTTACAATGGCATTCAAACAGCAAGAACAAAACGATAACATGAAACAGATTACTGAAGTGTAATAAAGTTCGTATTGAAGGATGTTAGAATAGTTTGTTGAAGAACTGTATATGTATGTAGGTCTAAGTCTAAGAACCCATCTCACTTTTGAACCATAACTACCTTTTTCTCGAAACCATACCTACCGACAAGCTTTTCTCGCTTTTTCTCGAAAGCCATCACAAACTTATAACGCAGGTTAATTTTCGAAATGGCTTTTTTTTAAGAGGGGCAAATCATCGAATGACTGCTTCCGCCTGGGTGAGGCGGGTGGGATTGTCAGACTCTTACTGGCTAAATAACACCCCGTTCCTTCTCCTGCACGTCGAGCCGGAGCTCCGGTTACCCGTTAGGTTCTCCGTGACTCCGAATCGGCATCGGTCCTGTTGGGCCCCATCTGGTGGTGGTGGTCTGATGGCTCTTTCAGGCGCGTGCGGAACGCGACGCGCCGTACGGTCGGGTCTGTTTCTGGTCGGATGGGGAGCCACCCATACTCGCCGTCCGCAGGCCCGCGCTTACGGTGGCCGGAGATCGTCCCGCGATCCCCGATGCCCGGTGTGTCCTTCGCGATGGCTGGGATTTGCGAGGAGGCAGCGCTTCGCTGCCTCACGCGTCCCGCCTCCTCCTTAGCTAGCATGACTACATCGCAAAAGGAGGAGACGGCATCCCAGTGCCCCTAGCTCCGCATCATAACCTGCACTAGGCCCGGACGCGAGAGGTCGCCATCGCCGATCACTTCCCTGAGGGCGGTGGTCAGCCCACGCAGGGCATTCCCCCACTGTGTGTTCCACCGTGTCCTCAGGGCGGCCCTCGCAGTGATAACACCCGGGCGTTTCCTCCCGCCCCATCAAACACAGGTACCTCCCGAAACTTCCATGTCCGGTGAGGACCTGCGTCAGACGGTAGGTGAGGACGCCGTAGCATCTCTCAAGCCACTCCTCAAAGAGGGGACTTACCGCTGCAATGGCAGCGAGCCCAAAAGTTAATTTTCGAAATGGCTAGTAGTAATAGGTTCTATAGACTGTGGTCTATCTACTCTATCTATGATTCACCATCTAACTCATTCATCGATTTATGGAAAGAACCTCGGTGTTTCTTTGCGAATTCGAATAAAAATTATAAAATCCACAAATCGTGTATTCATCTGCAATGTTATGTTTAAATTTTCTCCCTTCTAAACTTGCCTACCCCCACTTCTTTAGATCTGGGCTAAAGTAAGTGATGTAGATGCAATAAATTATTAAGAAGAACTTGATTCGAAAGATATTACAAAAAAATGCAATGAGCTATGACCGTTGCGACTTATTTAAGTAGGTAATTAACTACTAATTATTATAGTAATTATGGTATAGTAATAGCATTTATACCGATTTCAAAAAAGGACCGTACTTTTTTGTTTTACTTGTTGTTTGTCTATAGTTTTTGATTTATGATTTTTTTTATTTTTAAAAGCTTATTTAATTATTCCAAATATTTGACGTTCCATAAAATTCTATTCCCCTATACTATACTCTTTGTATTCACCCCTCTTTAGTGTCTATACGACTGTCGATCCCTATTCATCCCGTTTTACCGTACTCTAAGGTCCTGATATTTTTTAACTGATTATTTGCCCAACGTATTGAGGCGTTAGCGTTAGCGTTCTGAAAGGTTTTGAAATTCCCGCGTAATCTTAATTATATTTAGAGGGTGCCTGCCTAGGCGCATCAACGCATGGCCACATGGCACCTCTTTGGTGATCACTGTATCTACGACTTTCGTCTATTTATGTTTTTTTATGTTTAATTATCTAGAAATTGCAATATCTTTGAGTACAATATAAAGAAATACAATACTTGTATTTATTTTACATACCGAAGCTAAATACATACATTCATAGTTACAAAATAGTGGTAAATGTTTAAAATCTATAGTTTATGGTAACTTCAAAAGATACTACGCGTTCCACGTTGTATCACGTGTGCATTTTTTAATATGTAGTGTCATTTATACCTAGTACACATTCAAGTCGATTTTCATTTTAACTTTAGTTTTTAGTCGAATTATGAGACATTTCAAAATTTTTTATTTTCGTATTCTAGTACTAAAAAAACACAACATTAATGTGTAACAATGTTATTTATCTCATAATATAATTGAAAACTAAATAAAAATATACAAAACAACATTTTAATAGCCACAGACTACATTAACAAACGGCCGCCATGTTGTGTATTAGTCGATTATTGATCCGAAAACAGGTATAACTAATTAGTATTGTCAGACGAGAATATCAGTCTTACGGCCGCGGAGAAAGTATCAACATCAATAAAATTTACCCTCCCTTCTCAATGTGGAAACACTAGCAGCGGCCACGTTTCGACAATCTTGTTAGTTCTTCGCACATCAGTCATTTTATAACATCTTATTCTTTTGCCGGATTTTCACAGAGAAAATATTTTAAAAATGAGTGCTCCAGCACCCGCGCCTGCTTATAAAATAGGAATCGTGAAGCAGGTAATACAACAATAACATGTTTTTATAATTTTCATAAACAGTAAGCCAGGATGCCTCGTGCCGATCTCTTTAATTTGCCTCGTTGGCACATCATCGCGTTCATGATCTGAACAGCTTTATAGCTTGTATGCTTATTTTAAACTTGTGATCACCAAAATGTAGTATTTGGTGTACTGGTAGTCAATATTTTTCATTTTGTGCCAGCTGGCAGATTGAGGAATCGGTAGATATAAATTTTGATATATAAAATACCACTAAAATTTTATATGTAAAAACGTTAAAATTATGTATCGCATCTTTATTTACAAAACAGGTACTATCAGGGGATACGATTGTGATCAGGCGGCAACCGCAGGGCGGGCCGCCTCCAGAGAAAGTCATCGCGTTGTCTGGCATCACCGCGCCTAAGTTAGCACGCCAGAAAACACCGAATAAGTGAGTACTGTTTAAATAAACAAGTTATTATTTAAGTGTAATCAAAAATAATTCAGCTTTAAGTCATTAAATTGGTTTATCATAACTTGACCAGCAATCACACCCATGTAACATCTTGATGCTATATTCATACATAATGTATTGATTTCTTTGATATCAGCTATTAGATTGCTCAAAGGTGAATTTATTTCATATTTTTATAATTTCTAAAACCCTTAGGTATAATAAATGTTGGAATTATAAGTTCCAGGATAGTTAATAAAAGGGAGAATTTTATATTAAAGAACCATCATTGATGTTTATGGATGCTTTGCGAAACAACTCGACTCATACTAGATGATCCAGTCAGTCGGGGTAGTGATACAAACAGTGTAGGATAAATTTGAACATGATGTAAATGTAAATAAGTGAATATAGGTACCGAATAATATTTTTATGTGTACTCTGCAAAGCAATAGCGAATATATTTATATCAACTTAACACATCTATTTCCTCTGGCATGGCTAATTATATTACTCTATTGTTAAACATGAGCATTGTCATACTGTTACGAGTTAAAAGGTGTTGTATTAATAACTGCAAGATAATATTTTAGTATTCTCTCTTATATGGTGAAAGGAAAAAGTAGTTGTAGTATAAAGTTATTTGGATTTATCTGATTATTATAGAACATTTTCTTTGATTCTGCAGCCACAAGCTTATTATTCTGTAAAAGTAAGCAATAAGCAATGTAATGTGTGTTATCTGTTGGAAGGTCCATATGGTAACAAATCATTATCATAATGTGTGCTTGCATGTTAGATTCTATAGTGTTTTGTGGATTATTAAGGTTTAGTCATGAGATGCAGTTTAATATGACAATGCAATTAGTAAATTCAAAGGAAAATACAGTAAAACATGCCTACATAAATAAAATAAAGGTATCTTTCTACTGCTAGTATAGATTGCGTTTTTTCTAGAAAGTAGGGATTTTGTAGAATGCTACTTCAGGCCCCTCATTAAGCTTTAATATCTTCCGTGACCAAATATCTTTATTTCTTTAACAATATTATAAAATATTAGTTTAGCAATTAATTAATTGATATAATTATCATTAAAATCAAATAATCAAGTACAAAGATAATTATTAAGGAGGAACTTATTATATTTAAACACAATATTAGCAATTAAGGTAACTCTACTAATGGATTTTCTTGAAATACAAATATCTGATTTTAAGCTCACTTTACGATAAATAACATTTTCATCAATATCTCTTATACATATATATATATAGCGATAGCGATTCAGACTTCATTATTATGAGCCTTTAGCGGTCCACTTCATCTCACTTTCTGTTTATACATTTTTTGTTAAGGGTCAGTTCTTAATTCATCAACTTATTAATATATAAACACTATTTATATAGCTGATCGCCTCATTTAGAGAGTCAACAAGCTAACTTGATAATTCATTATTGGTGGATCAAGTAAACAATGAAGCATATAGATAAAAGTGTATTTAAACCCAAGTAACGTTGAATCTTGTATCATTTTCAGATAAATTCATCATATATACATTGTATACATATTGGTGTTAGTACAATTATTATGTGTATCTTATATTTTCATATTCCTATTGGTTCATTATCAACAAGTATCAATTTTCCTATATCATTTGTCTATTACCTTTGTTTATGACTTGTTGATAGTAACTTCTTCTGTGGGGGATTATTAAATCTAATTGCTTATTCTCATACTATGATATACAAATCTAAACCTAAAAGGACTTTAATGCATAGGTGTTGATGATGATGCCTTTGCTATTGTTATACCAAACTATTTCTTCCCAATGGTATAAGAGCAATGCGAAACAATAATTAAAATATAAGTTTACTCTGAAATTGCTATGCTGTTTTATTACAATATTATGATCATAATTATATGAAAGTGAAATAATGTTTTTTGTCTTAACAGTGATACGGAGTCGAAGGACGAGCCCTTTGCCTGGGAGGCTCGTGAGTATCTCAGGAAACTAGTTGGTCGTGAGGTCATCTTTACTGCTGATAAACCTCCCAACTCAGCCACCAGGGAATATGGGTGTGTGTGGACAGGCAAAGATCCTATCAAGGATGATAATGTAATAGAAGTCCTCCTTACTGAAGGCTTGGCTAAGGTTAGAGATGGAGGTAGAAATATACCTCAATTGAAAAGGCTTGTTGAGCTTGAAGATGTGGCAAAGTCTCAAGGTAAAGGCATCTGGGGTTCTGATTTGCAGGTAAGCAAATAAAGTACAAAAAGCTGTGTTATAACACTTTTTGAAGTAAAACAAAATAGTTTAGTAGGGAATAAGTAATGTTACTCCTGTCTGTACATTTGGATGTAAAATATAAAAATTTTTTATATGAACTTTTTCTACCAACATTATTGTTTATTTCTACTTGTTTACTTCTATGTCAATACAATACTTCTCCAATTATGTCAGTATATAAAGAAAGAGTATTTTTACAAATCATCACAACTGAATTTTAATAAACAGGACCATGTTCGGGAAATCAAGACTTGGACAGATAGTCCTAAGGCGCTGGTAGCCAAGTTCAATGGTAAACCGGTCAAAGCCATCATTGAATATGTACGTGATGGGTCCACAGTAAGGCTCTGCCTACTGCCTGATTTCTACCAGATTACACTGATGCTGTCGGGAATTCGAGTAAGTATCTAGCTACATAAACATAGCATACATTTGAAATTGTGGTTGCTCTGTAAGCTACTTGTCAATGACAACTGATTTTACATGAATATTAAATAGAACATGATTGTTTTTAGTGCCCTGCAGTGAGGCAAGATGGTGAATCTGAGCCCTATGCAGAAGAAGCGCGTTTCTTTTTAGAGTCTAAACTTCTTCAAAGAGATGTAGAAGTTGTACTTGAATCTGTAAACAACAACAACTACGTGGGTACCATCTTACACCCACAGGGAAACATTGCTGAAGCTCTCTTACGACAGGGCTTTGCCAGATGTGTCGACTGGTCTCTTGCAGTGATGAAATCAGGTTAGTATTCTATCAGTACCACCTGTATTTTTATTAATATAATAGAATTTATTCGTAATTGCATACACTATCTACTAGAACACCCATGATATATTCAGTTAAACTTAGCTTAATAAAATTTAAAACATTGGCGTGCAGCGGTCAAGTCGCGAAAGGATAAAGTTTACTACTAACCATAAATGCATCTACAATTGTAAGTGCTAATAAGTTATTTTTTTTTTAAATATAAAAATACAAATTAGTTAGTTGTAATTTTTTTTTTACTGTATGGACATGACTTGCAGAATTAAGGGAGTCCTTAGTCATTTAGTGTATGAAAATCATTTTTCTAACAGAAATGATACATTATTGATGAATGTATTTAGAAATTGATTGTTTTACAGAACCAAGAAAAAGTAGCATAACAAATTGATATTAATTTAATACCTAAATATAAATAATATATTCCTGAAAAAAATCACAAGAAATGTCAGATGAACAAAGAAGTTAAAACATATTCAGTATTTTTTTATTTCGAGGTACTTTATGATGTGCTAACACTTTGGGATTTATTGCACTTTTGGTTTTATATAGTATGTTATTTATTACATATAAACTATATTATGTCTTATGCATTATACTTACACAAATAAAAAATAATAGGGACATGATTAGTGATATGTATGTTGTATGTGTTCAAGTATGAAATTCATTTTGTGTTTTTAATAATGCTACCTATATGTATCTTTCTTATACAACATTTTAAACCTATTAAGGCTTGGTTTCTGTCTGAGATCACATAATGAGTTTATTTCAGTTTACGTTTATTGGCTTTAGTTCCGCACAGGTTTATTATGCTTTCCACAACAGTTTTTGAATGCATCTCACAAATTACAATATTTTGTTTTATTGACACTGTCAGCAAGTACAACACTACCTTTTTTTTCTCATATTGGTAAAAAATCTTAGCAAAATAAGTACCTATATTATTTGTAGATTTATTACAAATATTTATTTGTATAGCTATACATGTTGATGAGCTACAGAATGCCATCATGAATTAATAAAATATTTTGGCACTAAATTATAGTTTCAGTTGCCAAGCATCATCACAATAATATTATCAGACTTATTGACTATAACTTGATGCATTTCAATTATGAACAGGATGCATTTTTAACGAAATATAAATCATATAAATTACCGTAACATCAAGTACTTTGTAAGTTTCACTTAATTTAATATGTGATAGTTAAAATACAAAATCTTTAGAAATCGACGTGATTTTCGCATCTCTATATACCGATTAGACTTGCTCCCAAAATTATGTCTCTTTCGCATGTTAACAGTTAATATATCTTTTTAAGGCGCATCGTCTTTGCGAAGTGCAGAGAAAGCTGCCAAGGAAGCTAGGATCCGAATTTGGACTAACTATGTGAGCAATGCTCCAATTATAGCAGCTAAGGACAAGGAATTCACAGCAACAGTAATGGAAGTTGTGAACGGAGACGCTCTTGTTGTGAAAATGCCTAACAACACCCAGAAAAAAATATTCCTGGCCAGCATCAGACCACCACGTGAAAAGTAAGTAAGCATCTACTTTTTCCACTGTATGAACATTGAACAGTTTCATCATTGCTTTGTTTCTTCACAGAAACAACCCTGATGAGGAAGGCAAAAACTCTCCAAGACCAAAAGGTTTCAAACCCCTGTATGATATACCATGGATGTATGAAGCTCGTGAATTTCTACGAAAGAAGGTGATTGGCAAGAGAGTTAACGTGACTGTTGACTATATCCAGCCCGCTAAAGATAATTTCCCAGAGAAAAGTTGCTGCACTGTTGTTGCAGGAGGAGTGTAAGTATCCGATTCATAATTTTCTAAATAATCTTTAATAATCTAGTCGTTTATTTTGATTCAGGTAATAATTTATTTAACATTTTCTGTTACACAGGAATTTGGCTGAGGCATTAGTTTCAAAGGGGTATGCTACCGTTGTTCGGTACAGAAATGATAATGATCAGCGCAGCTCCCACTATGACAAACTCTTAGAAGCTGAGCTAAAGGCCCAGAAAGCTGGTATTGGCGTTCACGCTAAAAAAGATATCCCTACTCATCGTATCCAGGATACGAGTGGAGACTCTGCCAAATCCAAAAAGTTTTTCCCATTCCTTAAGAGAGCTCAGAAAACCGAGGCAACGGTAGAGTTTGTCGCCAGTGGATCTCGAATGAGGATATACATTCCCAAAGAATCTGTCCTAGTGACATTCCTGCTCGCTGGCATCAACTGCCCTAGGGGATCACGCCCTGCCATAGGAGGAGGTGGCATGCAGAGCGCCGAGCCTTTTGGTGAAGAAGCTTTGCAGTTCACCAAGGAAAAATGCCTGCAACGTGATGTTGTTGTCACTATTGAAGAAATGGACAAGGCAGGCAATTTCATTGGTTGGTTATGGAATGATAATGAGAACTTATCAGTGGCTTTAGTGGAGCATGGACTGGCTACAATGCACCACACCGCAGAAACATCGGAATTTGCTCGACAAATTAAAACTGCTGAAGAAAACGCAATGAAACGGCGTATTGGATTATGGAGGGATTATGTAGAAGTTGAAAAAGAAACTGAAAAGGAAAGAAATGCTCCAATTCAAGATCGTACTGTAAAGTATGAGAAAGTTGTTGTTACTGAAGTAACAGATGAAGGCAATTTTTATGCACAAAATGTTGACTTGGGCAGTAAGCTCGAAAATTTAATGGACAGAATTCATCAGGAATTCAAAAACAATGCCCCCCTTCCTGGATCATATGTCCCCAGAAGAGGCCATATTTGCGCTGCTCGTTACACTTCAGATGAAAATTGGTATAGGGCCAAGGTTGAAAGAATCACTGAAGATAAAATGGTTCATATTTACTACATTGATTACGGAAACCGTGAGGTAAGTTATTTGTTATGTGGGAACTTGAATAAACTCATTCTAATTTACATGTATTAACTGTATTCAATAAATAAATAATCTTTATCCAATATTCACTTTCGATATCTATCACTGCCAAGTCTTACTCAAATTAATTTTCTTCTTAGTTTTGCAATCATTTTCTGCAGAATGATCATATTAAACTGTCAAACACCAAGCGGTCACCGGTGACCGCGACCTATTGTTCTTTAATTGTGTCTATAAAACCGGTACTCGACGAGTACCGGTTTATACACCTAATTATAAGTTTTTAAATTTATAAGTTCATATTTTACAGCAATCAATACTAGTAATCTTCATTCACGGTCATATTATTATGAGACTTAAATATATGTAGGTATATAATACACATTAATATTGTAATGTTTCTTGTAGATTGTGCCCGCTGCGCGCCTGGCTCCACTACCTCCAGGCACTGAACTGGAACCAGCTTATGCCAGTGAGTTCACACTGTGTTGCGTGAAGTTCCCAGCGGACCCTGAAGATCGATCTGAAGCAGTTGCAGTTTTCTCTTCGGATACGCTGAACAGGAAACTGCTTCTTAACGTGGAGACTCGTGGTTCCCCACCTTGTGTCACTCTCGTCGATCCTAACACCAACGTAGACATCGGAAAGGTAATATAATACCACATATTAGATCTTCTTGTAGTATCTGAAAAAAAAAACGATTAAAACGGATTTAGTGAAAATACATCTTTTGACTGCACTGAATGATTTATTAAAATGTGCAAATTATATTTTTAGAATTTGATCAAAGAGGGATTGGTGCTGATGGAACCACTGCGCGACCACCGCCTGATGGGACTGGTGGCTGAGTACCGCGCCGCGCAGGAGCACGCCAAGTGCTCGCGCCTCAACTTGTGGCGACACGGAGACATCACTGACGATGATGCCGTTGAATTTGGTGCGCGTCGCTAGCGGGAAGTTACCGACTCGCCACAGCACGTGCTAAACTGTGTAATGTGCACAGCTTTACACATCCAGTATATCTTATACAGCATCATTCAACCGTTTCTGTGAACGAGTTCAACATTAACCGATTTCTAATACGTAATTCTGTCTTTCTGGTCTTCCTTGTGTCCTTATTTCCTTAGGAAATCAAAACCACTACTTTTAGAAATCGTGATGTTAATACAAAATTTGAATAAATTGTATACTTTGTGTAATGAGATGTGAGCGGTGTGTATGTGGGGAGTATAATGAACATTACTATGAACACTATTCCGTAACATTATGATACTCGTGGCATTATATGCCTCTAAATTTGTATCTGCATATATGTACTTTTAATGAAATATTAATTATTATCAGAATTAAGCAACATTTTAATAAATGTACTAATGTAATTGTATAATTATAAACATAATACCTTTCATTGTGGTGAATGCAAATTGTTGATTTATTTACATTTTTTACAGTTTTGTATATCAGAATAATACATTATATTTCGTTGTTAATTTCATTATTTATTTTTACACGAAGAATATTATTCATTAATAATCTGACCCTGTGCTTTTTATCATTGTTATTTTCCGTATCTATCTCTTCTTTACAATTAATTAATGTGTATTTTTGACTTGCAAAAGCATTTGAGCATAAATGTGTATCTGACATTCGTCAAAGTGTAGCTAGTGAAGAATTTAATAAGAATTATGAATGTTCGAAAACAGATTTGTTATCTTTATTTAATGGATAATATTGTACGAGTGGTATTTCGAAAAACTTTTAGCTTCGTATTTCGTGCTTATAAGAATACATATTGTATGAACCTACCTCTCTCCTCGAGATGTCATTGTTTTTAGAACTTTACATGCATTCATATTCATAACAATACATGGAATGTTAAACTTCGTATATTAAATAAATATTTTAGGAATTTATCGATGTTTTTATTTTTACTACTTATTATCATATTTATTAAATCCTGCATTAGAATGTAGCACCAACAGTTGTGGAACAATCACAATTTTGGAAGCTACGGCTAAGTTTGTGGCCACAAAGCGAACTACATTATATAGTTGGTCGCAAGAACCAGTTGTGCCGGCCTGATGAAACAAATATACAAACAGTGGCTCACACTCCAAAGTCAGTAATTGACTTCGAAACCATACAGGTTAGCGCTGACCCACTTTTTAGTAGACATGATCAAAACTTTAAAACTAAATTATAGCATAACCATGAAAAAAGTAGAAAACTCTAACCATCATTCGTGCCGGGAATTATATCGCGCACGCAGGTACACCAGAAGCAGACGGAATTAAGTAATAGATACCTATATACACTAAAAACAAACTTAATTGTGCGGCTCGATCCCTAGACACAGTTACTGTACTAAACGCAAATATAAGTTTCTCGAATGTTAGGTTGCCCGCTGTAAGATTTTCTTCTGTGTAGTCGGTGGGTTTACAAACATACAAGTTCATATACACGTGACCCCCAGACCCGAAACTACAATCTGTGGATTACACAAAGTTGTTCCGTGCGGGAATCGAACCTCCGACACGTTGCGCGGCAGCCAGTTGTTCAACCGCTGCGTCAACCGTGTAGTCATATCTGTAGGGCCGATGCCGATGGTCGGAATTACCTTGAACCGCCATTTGATAATAAGAAAATCTAAATGAGAAGAATTTGTCAGTTTGTGTGTATTTTTGTAACTTAGTCACATTAAAATGGCTGAAGGGACCGGGATGAAATTTGGAACAGAGGTAGATATTGTCTGGACAATTGTCTTTGTTATAATTGTATTTTGGTTTATAAGCACCTAATACTTTACGTCAGAGCAAAACAGTAAAATAAATCAAAAACAGGATCTGATTGTACAAATAAAAACAAGAGTTATTATAAAAGATAATATATTTAATTTTGTAAAATAAGAGCGGATTTTATATATAAATTACGCAATCTACGCCACTCAGCTAAATCAAAATACACGTAACACAAACATTTATGGTACTATTTTATCAAATAAGATTTTGGCACCGTAACAGCCAAATATTTTAAGCAGCTAAACGCTTTGCTGTTTGGACCATTAGCATAAAGACGCAACGAGTTCGTAGTTTCCAGCATACAATAATTTACTGGAGCTCACCGCTTCAGTCTGCACATTCACAGCTCTTTCATAATAAAATACACTTAAATACGTAACATGTAAAAATGATGATGTACTTTATGTTATTGCTTGACATGCGATATTTTCAAACAGACAATCACGCAATTTGTAGACAGCAGTATGGTGAACTGCTTGCCAGCACTAACTGCGCATTGCCATAAAAATACATTAAATTTAAATAAGTTAATTATATAAAATAACAAATCTAAATGGAATAATTTATAGGTACATTCATATTTAAATAATAATTAATAATATAAGTAATTAATGCAATGAGAATCGACAACATTAATACCAATTTTTTATAATCCTCATGTGGTTAGAGAGCCGATGTGCTGTAGTTAATAACAAAATACAGTATAATAATATGTTATATGGCCCGTGAGAGCATTTCGGTCTGAATAAAACCTTTGATTTACCACTTAGTCAGCTTTCCGCCAAGCTGTGTGGTAAAAAAAAAGTATAGCAGTCTATATAGTGCTATAGGACTTTTTGTGCTATACTAGTTAAGGAAGGATAACATTATCGTTGGAGAATTTGTACAGGTAAGTATTTGTTTATTTAACCTATGTCATTTGCATTATAAATTTATTATAATAAATTTGTGAGTATACTGTTTGTGCTCTTTAACCAATGAGTTCAAATACCTATGTAAAACTTAACGAGAATGTATTTCCTAACTACTCTGATATTTGACTACTTACACGCTACTTAGATGATGTACATAGAGTCTGCATGTGTTGTGTCTCAGCACGTTTCATACAAAAGCAGGGCTTGTCCTCTCCGTCAGATATTTTACAAATTTGTAGTCTGAAATTATTTTTAACATTTACTAAGGGTTTTGCAGCTTTTTGTAATTAACATTTATAATTGTGACATTGTTTTTGCGCAATTAACTCGTCTATGAATCGCGTCTTTCTACTATACCAACATAATATTAAAAATTTTGTTCCTAAGTTATTTACCTATAACAATTGTATCTCTGCATACTCTGGCAAATTAACAAGACTTAGGCCTACTGTCCACGACGCGTCATTTGACAAATGCATGCATTCGTCAAACGACAAAAGACGTCCTAAAAATTACACTTGGATCTTGCTAAGAAACAATGAAAACTGTCCACAAAGCGTTGTTAACGCCGCCGATTGTCGGACGCGTCATGGACAGTTATCCTTAACGTTACTTCACCATGTACACAATGGTAGGACGGACAAGTGCAATTAGCTACAAAACCCTGCCATTGTGGTACAAGCAGTTTCAAGCTGTTGGCTTAGTGAGGGTGCAGATGTGCACATTCGAAAACGCTTGTAATATAACTATTCTCTTCAAGCTACTGCATACGTACTAAACTCTACATTGAGAACCCTAGCTATAACTAGTTAAAATATTGAACCAGTCTCACCGGTCCACGCCTGCTATATTGTTTCGGACTTATCTTACTGGGCTGCTTTAACAATCAAGTCAGCCAACCTCACACTTACCTACACTTTAAATTTACATAATACCATTTTTGTGCTAACATTACACTAAAGCTTTGTATTGAATTGATATCAACAAAATAATTGCCTTGACTATAAAAATATGTTAATTCTATAACGAATTGATTTAACTAAAGCTCCTTCCACACTAAGGCAGTTCTTAGTTAAAACGGTTCTTACATAATTACACTGGCGACAACATAATCAGTCGAACACGTATCAATGAGATGTTAATACAGAGCGGACGACCAAAATATTCATACATGCACTATCGAGTTAGGGGGGACCTTACAACCGAATGCTGGAATGGTTATTTAATATATCGTCGGTCAGAAACAGTAATGGAACATTTCAAAATGATACGTTTTTGGGTACTGAGGTTTAAAGTTTTTGGAAATATTCAAATGTGATTTTACTTTACTTTTAGGTAATTTTATGTTTTTTTATTTATTGAATTATATGTAGATTATAGCCAAGTTTATTGTACTTTACAAAGATTTAGGTTTTTATTTGTAGTTTTTGAGTTATCAGGTTTTTTATGAATTGTGCCAATAATGAATTAAACATTTTATAAAAAATTTAAAACGAATTAGAATATTTCTAAATATGCTAGTAATGAAATGAAAAAACTATCAATTTCGTAATCTTATTGGTTTATTTAATAATAAAGAATGAAAACAGAAATCTTAAAATAATAAGTGCTTCAAATTAATCATTTTCGTTATGCTCATCGGGTTCAATATGATTGTCTCCAGCCTCTAAACTTGAGTAATACTCTCGGTATACCCTTGGAATGACATTTGAGTCGCATAAAGCAAGCAAGTCTTTTTTTTTTAGGTTTGATATCTTTGGTCGCTGGTGGTACTTATTTCGTAGATGTAGTTCAACATTTGCAGCACTTCTGCCCCTGGTTCTGTTGCGCACATTTAGGCACTTCATTGTTGAATTCGGTTCATAGGTGTCGTTATAAAATACCAAGTATGGAGAAGACGCCTGCATATAGATTTTTTTTATTTCATTCCATACGACACGATCACCGTCATTATTAACGGTGAAGTTTTTGCCAAACTGCGTGACTAAGTCCTTCAAATCGAGAATGTCACTGAAGTCCAATTCATGTACCTCGTAAGGAGTCCCACATTTCTTGGCACATTGTATTACTGATTTCCATTGTGTTGGCACAAAAATGGATCCATTTTTCAGTATTCGTGTTTTTTCCCGTTCAATAGTGCTATGCACGCTATCACCTTCGTTTTGGGTGTGTCCAATAACTAAATATTTGTGTGTTATTGACACAACACCCAAAACTTTGATAGCATAGTGGTAGAGACTTAGCAGGTATTTATTTTTATTTTGTGCAGAACAATTGTCAGTGTAAAAAAAAACATTTTTTCCAACACAGTGGTCTTTCAGAAATTTGTAAATGCACGTCCCAACTTCATCGCAACCTTTTCCTCCTAATGACTCATTCCATAGATAGCAATAGGCAGCTTTTGATACAACGTTAAATACGGTGCAGTTGTATACATTGAGTCTTCTTTTATAAAAAAATAGGGAATCGTTTCCGCATGGTGTCTGCAAAACTGCCTGCATGTCATAACAACAAATTATTTTGTTAGCATCATTTTTGCATGTTTCTATGTCCGATTTCTTTTCCAATCTGCACAAATCTCTTTCTTTTAAATGTTTTTCATAAGTGTACTTCAGTTGTAACTTATCATCACCTACAGCATTTTGATAAGACAAACAAATTGAACACTGATCCTTCTTGGGCTTGTGAAATGCAATGTTAAACTCATTTCGAAAAATGTGTTCATAAGTTCCTTGCTTGATGATAGGTTTGCTATTCTGATGGCACCATTCCTTGTATTGTCGATACATCATAGTCAAATTTAAGTCACCATCAAGGTATTCTTTTGTAGAACTTGCCCGACAGTAATGAGACTCTTTTCTCGGATAGGAATTTATATGTTCCCTTGCACCATCTTTGTCAGCCTGTGGTAAACATCTACCGGTATTACCATGGCGCCCTCTACGATCTTCTGGTATTATACCCGAAGCTTTCTTTTTATTTACTGTAGATAAAAAAGAATGTCCTATGTCCAACGTTGCCATAAAAAATCGTTTGCATACTCGAATTTCCTCTGAATTTATTGTAAACTTGTATGATACATTCAGGGATCGCTTACTATCTTCCCTGTGTAGCGAATACTTTGGCTTTACAACTCCCATACAACTAGCAACAAAGTAGCGCTGTCTTCCAAGGTCGCCAATGCCCCAGAAATCATTGAATATGTTTAACCTTTTTTCTTCATTAATTTTTTCTGTACATTTCAATCGACAATCAGTTGAACATGGAGGTTTTAGTTTTTTAGCAGGTATTGTGTTTCCTTTAACTGTTTGGTAAGACTCGCCTGAGTTCTTAACTTTTTTTTACATTTTTTTGCCATTTTTCAGGCTGTCTCTTCTTCTTTCTTGATCGTTTATCATTGGTTTTTAAATCTCCACCTTCTATCAAATCTGAATCATGTGGGCCTACGTTATTCAATTCGTTGTTTGTTTCGGCGTCCACCACAGGTATATCTACCTCTTGATCCAATTCACAACCTATAAAAATAAGGAAATAATAAAAACAACGTACAACTCTTGCCTAGTTACCATCTTTAAAAATATTTAAAAGAGTAATTCCTAATTAATGTAGTTGGTACCTAAATCTTCGCAATCTGTTAAATCTGAATCTAGTCGGTCGTTTCTATCCACTTCTAACACAGATTGATCTGGTTCTTGATCCAACTCACCACCTATAAAACATAAAAAAACAATTCAAACTTGATTCAAACCAACATACCCACAACACAAACCTACTTGTGTTCTTAAAAAATATTTATATAAGATACAGGCACTCGCCTAGTTTAAGGGGCAGGGTCTCAATACTCTACCTGTATATGTACATGATGTACTGTTTTTGCACAATAAACCATTTTCATTTTCATTTTTCATTTTCATTTAAAGGAGTAATAATTATTAATCGTATGTTAGTAACTACCTAAATCTTCGCAATCAGTTAAATCTGAATCATGTTGGTCTAGGTTATCCAAGCTGTTGTTTCTTTCCATTACAACCGCAGGTTGATCTGGTTCATGATTCAACTCACCAACTATAAAACACAAGGAAACCAGTAAAACAAAGTTAGTACTTAAGTACCTACAACTCGTTCTTATACTTTCCTAAAAAATATGTAAAGAAGTAATAATTATTTAAAGGGGTAATCACTATTTTAGTACCTAGCATAGGCTCAGCATACTCCAGAAATACAGTAGATGTCGCTTTAAAACGTTTATTTGTAATCTCCTCCTGCTCTATAGACCTCTTTTCTGTTATTTTATAAGTTGTATCATTATTTTGAAGACCTATGTTAGGTAAGTTTAAGTTATTTTCTTCATCCATAACAATTGACTGCAACAGCTGATCTGATTCGATATCTGTAAACAAATAAGTTTTTTGTAATATTTTTTTCAAATCGCAAATCAAATACTTATCAGCCGAATCTGTTCAGCTGTTTTTGATTGCTTCGACATCACTACTCGCTAAGCACATCCCTAGTAGTATCGGAACCTGTCACAAAATCTATTATTATATATCTACTTACAAAAAAACATTTCTTGCCCACTCATTTTCTTATCCGGTTCGGTCTGATGACCTTCTTGACCTTCGACAACATTAAACGTAGGATTTTCTTTACGTACAGTATTTAATTTTAATTTTGTCTCTGGAACAAATTCCACCACACAACCACCACCTAGTAAGCATAAAAAACCTTACACTTTAAGCTATAGAAAGCTCGATTTTTGTCAGTATTTCCTTTTTTACATAAATTATAATTTATGTTTTACACACGAAAATACGTGCTTAGAATTTGGTAAAGGTACTTAGGTTACCTTTTATGGAAGTACGGAATAACCTAAGTACTACTCTGACAAGCTTAAGCAAAAATAGACCCATACCAGTAGGTATTATAAGTTATCTGAAGCTTAGCATCAGCATAGCTCAAACATCTTAGCCACCATTCCACTTGTTGCTAAGTTATTTTAAAACTTACACACATGAACTAAAAGTTAGGTTATATTATGAACAAATTGTATAAAACTTACCGCTAAACTGATCATCATCACTCTCTGTCCTGGTCATTGCTAATTGTAGCAATTTTTTAGCTCTAGAACTCATTACAGATACTTGTTTAACGATACTTTTAATAATTATTTAAGCTTCGTCTGTGACCACTACGCTGAGCGTTCAAAGCGCAACTGGCACAAAACACGAATAAACAACATTCAAGTAAAAAATTTCAGAGTCGTACTGGAACATTTCGAAATATTCCATTAATGAACTATGGATGCGCTTACGAATTTTGGGTGGCAGCGGCACATTTCAAAATAAACTGATACTGAAAACGAAGATATTAATAAAATCAAATTTTCTTTAACGGAATAAATAGTTTTTTGTCAATTAGAACTACAATTTGAGTTGTACCGTTAGTGATTTGGATAAATTATTAAATTCCTTACCATTTTACATACTTATCTCAAAACACGTGATTTTTGAAATGTTCCGGTAATGAATCCGACCGACGATATATATGTAGAACATATTGGAAGACAATACAGAGATGATACATCTGAAGCAGCAAATTAGCAACAAGTATTATTATTGGAAGAATAGTTACATAAGAAGCCCGCGTTTAATCCGTAAATACTAGTAGATCGATCTATTTTGGAAACCTGATATAGTATGGATGTACTATATAAATAAAAAGAAATTTCTGTTCGTTAGTCTCGCTAAAATTTGAGAACGGCTAAACGGATTTGCCAATTTTGGTCCGTGGAAGTCCAAGAAAGGTTTAAAAGACGAGAATTTGGAAATTTGGATGGTCAGCTAGTACCTATATAAAATATGTATTTGAGTCAGTTGCAGTGACATTTTAAATTTCAAACGCATATACGAGGAACCAAAGGTATCCATCAGACAGGAACGTTGCTCGATTTTTTAAAAAACGGCAATTCGTGATGCAGTCCTTACCAACGCTCGATTGTGCTTTATAGATATTTAGGCCACGGTAATTGTTTTATCATTCTTTGCTTTATGTACACTATAGATACACATTTAGTGCATCATTACAAAAATATTTGACGATTGTATTTCATTAAGAGTATTAATTAAGAGTTATGACTCCATTATTTGCTACCGTATGTACGTATTTTTTAATTAAATCTCTTCACAATCACATATCTGCCTCGCCATTTTGTACCAATACATTGGAAAACTTGAAATTATTATCTACATATAAAGCTACAGGAATTTAAAAACCTATTAAAATATTTTTCTATATATATAAAATTTGTAAAATTATAATGGAATACTATCATGTTATGTCTAATTCTAGATATAACAATTTATACTATACAGTATGTACTATAGTGTGTCTTATGGTTGAATTAGTATCGTCGTCGAAGAATGGACCTATTTCACCAGGTAAGGGCGGCACATTCAGCAAGAATTGTTGTACAGAGGAGTAGTAGTCCCTGCAAGTCCAGGTGTCATCGTGGCCACCGCCGGGCATCACCACCAACTTCTTGCATACTGCTCCACATCGCATGTACAGCTCTTTCCCCATCGCAGGCGGGACCAGAGCATCATTAGAGCCGCATATCACAAGAGTGGGTGTCATGACGTGACCAATTTTCTTCAAAGACAGGTACTGGAAGAATACAATCCAGTGAGTGTTATACACATGTAAACATTATAAAATACATCTATTGATAGTATGTATTAGTCTGCCAATACAAACCTTATTCTTATGACAGCAAGGGGGAAGCCAGTTCAAACATCTCCATTTCAGTATAACTTGTGCCATGTCTGGTATGCTGGTGAAAGTATTCTCCACCACAAGTGCCCATATTTTGTTCCTATATTCCAGTCTCGAAGCTAAGTCAATAGCAATAGCTCCTCCTGAAATGTTATGTTGTAAGGTGAGAAGAGCCTAATAAAGATTTCTATAGTAAAAATGTTTGTAAAGGCATATTTAACTCGTCGAGTACCGGTTTTATAGACACAATTAAAGAACAATAGGTCGCGGTCACCGGTGACCGCTTGGTGTTTGACAGTTTAAATAAGTCTCCTCTTAAATCCTGAATTAAGTACTGTCAAAAACAAGTATAGTTATGTTTCTATCTTTACTGTACTAACCTAAAGATCTTCCGAAAACCATAATCTTACTGACATCTATGTCAGTTCTCTGCATTATGTAATCGAGGGCCGACTGTGCGTCTACATATAAACCTTTTTCCGAAGGACTTCCTTCTGACAAACCGTAGCCTCTGTACTCCACCATGAGAACATTGATGTTAAGCTTATGGTAGAAACCAGACACATTTGAAAGCCTGAAAATGGTAATCAATGATTTATTTAAGTACATAAACAATCACAAATATGAGGCTATACATTCAAAATAATACCAAACTCATATTAAAAGGTTGTATTAACAGTTGAATGTAAAAAGGATGTTGAAATTTGAGCCATGTTTGTAAGTTCAAGTGTGGGAAAGCCATGCTTCGGCACGAATGGGCAGGCTCAACCAGAGTGATACCACGGCCTCAAAACCGAAAACTCGCGTTCTGTTTCGTAGTGTGAGTCCCCAATCCCCGAATCCCCCACAATCCTCAAATTGTCAATACCCTAAATAAATACTACATTATAATTTATGTGGCATTCCATAGTATAACATATAACAAACTCATTAAAGTTATTTTTAGGTAACCCATGTTCTTGCTCTGGTAAACCACAGCACATCATACTATATATTTGACTAAGAAAGCGGAACAGATAAGAGTTACTTTCACAATCAGGTGAAGATATTATACAGAAATTACTTCAGTGTGACTTAGATTACACACAATTTATTTTCACATAATTAACATACATTGCATACTTAGAAGCTTGGAGCTAAAAGATTTGATTTAACAATATTTAGTATACTAAATATTTGTGCTATAGCACAAAGACTAATAATAGTATACAGTTTTCCAGTTGTTGTTTTGGTTAGTCTATAAAGTATATTTTTTAGAATCACTCACCTCTGCCCCATGTTCCCAGCATTGCCATGAAAGAATACCATAGTAGGCTTGTGATTGCTATTTACTGGCTGTTTTATTAAAAACATGTGTATTTTGAAGCCATCTTTATTATTAATTTTTATACTTTCATATGGAAGCTTATAGTTGCTAGGTTGAAGAACAAACACCCTGGAGTCTGGTGGATCATTGGGGTAATAAAGAAGAAGATCTTGTGCATTGTAAAGAATCCCTGTAAACAATAATCAATTTAAATTGACGAACAGTAGCCATGTATGGTACATTTATGTTTTGTTAGGTAAATATGTAAGTGTCTCTTTAAAAAATACACATTTAATTAACAACTTCAGATTTCTACAAGCTTTTATTTAACTTTATTTTATTTTTATATTTTTTTTATTTTTTGTACATTACATGTTTAGATAGGGTTGAGGAATGACATTACTAATATATGGAAATTTCCTGCTAAAAGATTTCCTTCTAAAGTTAAGAAAGAAGCTTATATTTGGTCTAAAACTTCTTTCTCATTACAAATATTCATAATACATGTTGGTTACAAGATAAGTCGAGGGGTAGAAGTGTCTAGGTCGACTTAGGTACCCTATATAAATAAGTAATTCACAAAAAGGTGGCATACTATCAACACATTTCATGCAGTGTTGGACATTGATGACCAACACTAATGGAGAATAAGCTTTTAACAGATTTTGTTGGCAGTTAAAGTCTTAATTGAATAAACATAATTATTTGATTGCAGCATTATTATTACATCTAATAACTAGGTAATATACAATTACAGAACTGTATAATTTTAAATTATCAAACAATCTTACATGTAGATAAAAAATTCAGATAAACAAGCAGGTTATCGATGTTTGCAGAACACTACAAAAATTAGTTTCTAAATTCTGATAAGCACTTGTAACAAAATGATAAAAAGATATCTTGGTACAATGAATTCTTTGCCAAACGAGAAAGTAAAGGCTTAAAAAGTTTGAGTTAAGTTTTTAATGATATTTCACAGGATAACATTGGAATGAGATAGAGTATGAATAGTTGTTATACTGTGCTAACAGATTATCCTTAGAAAGGACACTTATGTTGATAATACAAATGAAAAAGTCTATCATTTCTATAATATCTAATATCCTTCAAAGGTTCCATTCCATTCCATTAAAATTATAACCAGTTTACTGTAAGGTTTAGTGACAGACCAAATTGTTATCTGGTAAAATGAAATAAAAACGTGAAAAGCCAGTATTCAAAAACATTCAATATTTTAAGTAGAGTCATAATTCCATCTTCACCATTTTAAAAAAATCATTACACAGAAGCTTTAAAACCTACGTAATTAGGTCTTTCGCAAATGTTTCGTTGCTAAGATAAAGTGGGTAATACAAAAATTCTAGTAATAATATACTGTAGCTAGAGTATGAGGATTAGCCCACGTAAAAGTAAAAATTATTTAACTTACCTGATATGCCCACCGTGAACACGATAAAAGCCGTTATAAATCCATAAAACCAAAACACAACAACACCACAAAATAAAGTTAACGTAGACACAACCGACAGTCTATATAATATTATCCTAAGTATATGATACATTTTCAAATAAACTATATGTTATATAAATATAAAACTGTTTTATTATGGAAGGGAGTCGGTTGAAATGTGGAAACCTTCACAATCATTTCCAACCATAACCTAGGTCGAATAAAGTACTAAATAAAGTTTTTAATTAATATTTATCCAAACTTTTCACATATTTACAACAACACGTATTTAAATTTATTATCTAATAGAATGGAATTGTTAAAGAAAGGACAAACTGAAATATCAATTTTTTTATGTTTATTAGAATTTGACAGATGTAAAGTAATGCCAAATTATACGAATATGTAATAACTTAATAATGTTGCCATTAATTTTGTCATACTTGAACAAAAAAATCTAATATTTCAAAAAATGGTTTCAATAAAAAAAAAATTATCATAATTTCCACACCCTCACTACGTCATTGTATCCAAAATAGAAAAGTTAAGTACCTACATATTGTACTTAAAACAAAAAGTTAACGCCGGCTCCACACGTTGTTGACGGACTATCAGTGGGTGGGTCTGGCCCTGGGTAACCATACCTTTGACCTACCTAATAATTATTTTTTGTTTTTTAGTTTTTACCTTTTGTTTGATTTCAGGTTTTGTTTGGTTTTAGAAGTCGGTTTTTTTAAACGCAGCTTTTGATTTTATCTCAATTGGAGATTAACAAAGCAAGTATCATTATTGAGCATTACATCGCCTATACTGAAAGAAAATTAGTGACTCGTGCTCAGAGCTCAGAGCAGTTTCGATTTCTGCATCGGATATCTTCATATTGGCCCTAACGGGACAGAACTATTTTATTGTCCAACGTGTGGACACCTCAACGAATTTACAGTCAAATGTTGGCACGAACGTTGGGACGACGTGTGGAGCTGGCCTAACTCGTATTGGAATAATCAGTCCTTGTTGTTATGCTTACTTAAAAACTCTTCAGAATCACGAGGTATGAAGATAAACAAAAAAAAAAGTCAGAAAAAACTGTTTTTTTTTCCGTGAAGTGTAATGACGATGACAGGCCATGTCACGCGACAGATGTCCTTCGTATCAATGTGTATGTATTCTCGCCACCCTTGGTTTTAACTAGTGTCCGACCGAAATTTCGGTTTCGGTTTCGGTTTCGGCCGAGTTTCGGCCAAAAATCAAGTTTCGGCGGCAGTTTCGGTTTCGGCCAAAATCGGCCGAAACTTTTGCCGAAACCGAAACTTATGTCGCAAGTTCACACACGTTCACGCTCGCATAACTCTGTTTCCCGCGGCACTGTACGATTGTCATTATTTGACAAATAAAATGTTACCGCCAACCTGTATAAAACTTTTTACTATTAATGCAAAATAATAGGTAAAATGCACCAAATGACAATGACCAAATTTGTATGGAGCTTGGTGCCTCTTCCTTTTGTCGCGGCAGTTGATCGGATGTAGAAAATCTGATGCAGAATAACATTATAAACAAAAAAATATATGGGGTCTTATATAAAAAACACAGTCCAAACCGAGTTAAATCAGTTCAAAGATGTGAAAATAGTGCTATATTATTCCTGTTATTTTGTTGCTGGTGACCGTACACAACGCATATTTACTTGTCAGAAATATTTTGTAATAATTATTTATAAACGATTTCAAGGAATATAATAAAGCTTGTTGTGGATTGTTTTACTAATTTTTTTTTTCTTATAAGGCCACGGAATCAGAACAGAATAAATCAATAACTGGCCACTGCTGAAGTAAAAAAATATTTCTCTTGATTGGCTAGCGTGTTCACTTTATATGTATACGGTTTATGGCCTATGACAGATTTTCATGATCAATTTCCTCTCAGTCGAAAACCCGCAAAATACTTTTCTGAGCCCTATTATGAAATGCTATGTTTGTCAGCTGCGCCGTCGGTAGCGGCTGTCGTCAAAACACGAAAAAAAAACACTTTTCTGTCTAATTCTCCCGACTTACTTCCGATTAGTAACTAATCTAGCTATGTTAATTCTTTAATCTACAGCTAGCATAACATTATGTACAAAGATATCGTCATTCAGTCACAAAATGATGAATTATATTTCGATTGATCACATTATATGAAAACATACGCTCATCTGACGTATAGTCCATCACTTTATAAAGTCGACGGTTTCCTTTCTTCAAAAGATTCTGCTAACTATAAAGTAGACGAGTCTCCCACCAGGAGTCAACGGCAAAAAATAATACTTAATTAGATGTTTGGACGGCTACTACTACTCAACCCACCACTGGTACCACAGCTGACGCTCATGAAGCTTCATGACACAACTCCTAGAAGCATCATACAAGTTATCGACTGAGAGAAAATAGGTAATAAAAATTAGTACCTGACAATATGGATATATTGTGGTGTGATATAGTGTTCCTGTGCGCGGCGTACAGTGGCCCGCAATTTGAAGTTAGGAATTGTGACAAAAATATGAATAATTTGAATAAAAAAACCAAAGTAAAATGTTTGACTCCAGCTCCAGACTGAGTTATGAGCGTAGAGCTCAGTCCAGACTGAGATTTCCATATTTCCATCCAGCCCATAGACAATATCACTAGTAATGTGATTCTAGATAATATTTTCCATAAATCATCGACTGCCGCCAGAAAAACGAAAGGCACCAATTTTAATCAATGCCCTTTCAGTATCTTAAGAAATTTTATACTTGACTACGTAAGTTTCGGTTTCGGTGTCGGTTTCGGCCGAAACTGAAGCCACGGCCGAACATTCGGTTTCGGTTTCGGCCGGAAAACCAGTTTCGGTCGGACACTAGTTTTAACGTCCTTGCGTCACCCTTTCCGCCAATGACATTGACAATAAGTTGACGCCTGTTTTCAACTTATCTATATCTTTCACCCATTCATGAATGAAGGTAAAGAGTCTGGCCAAAGAAAACTGTCCAGATTCGTACAAAAATATAGGCGAAAATTTTCTTGGACACCTTTCGTTGACCAGACTCAACCTCAAGCTAGAACTCATGGTTTTACCCAACCCGGGATAGTAAACTTACTTCTCTGCTCGGTCTCACTCCACACCACACGATCACCGAACCAGCCACAAAACTATTATTAGTAATTTTTTTCATTCATTGCCATTTGATCGCTGGACTTAATAAATCCAAAACCTGTGTGAAAAATAAAATCTCTTTATAATATTTATTGTGTGAGATGTAGGGAGGGGATTATCTCATCCCCATTTTAGGGGTAGTTATAAAATCGTCTAAATATAATTTGAAAATGATTTGATAGGCGAAATAAGAGAAATTAAAGCATCAATATTAAATATTTTTATTTACATTAAAGATAAGTATTTAGTAATTAGGTTATTTAAATCTTGGTTAGTTGTTAGAATATTGTAAACTAGAATATTGTAACTAGGAGGACGAACTTGCATTGTAGATGTATTTATATAAAATATTCATAATTTATAACGTATATCAAAGGCACGCAAAAGACACACCCAATAGTAAAAAAAGTAATCATTTAAATGTACATATTATTTAATATTAAAAATGTCAAAGAATTATGAATTATTTAAAAATAGTGTTTGCTTAACATTTATGGGCATTGTGTCTATTTTCCAAATATGTAAAACAAAAGTAAGTGACTGGCTGTACCTGAATAAATACATCAATCGTCGTCAAAATCCTCGTATAACTAGATTTACAATAAAATGCATTTAAAAGCAATCGTGATGTAGTTACACAATAAATAATTCACATTGTTATTATTATATAAGCCTAATTTACACACAAATCTTGAATCTAAAACATTGTAAATATATGATCTGTTGATGTACCGCTTATCTAATAATATTCCTTTGCTCATAGAAATATGTCATCTAATATACACATATTCTTTATAACATGACTTAACCACTAAACAAATACTTGGGTACAAATATAATTATATAGTTGATTGCTTGTAATTCGTTCTCATAATCATTTTGTAAAGGTTTTTTGTCAAGAAGAGTATTAGAAAAAGTTAGCACCAGTGTTTTGAAACATTACTGTTGAGGCGGCGTCGTTTTTAACTTTATTATGAGCAGTCAAAAACCTAAAAGATGACTGTTCTCCGTCCAAACATTATGCGTCGCTGATCTCAACACACTACAAGAAAATAGGAATAAATAAAGACAGAATGAATTCAAATAAAATCCTATATTGAGCATGATCAACGAATATTTTTTAAGAGCAAAGAATAGAAGAGATGCGGTAGTACAAGGACTGGACGAATGACCTGAGACATTATAACAAGAAGTCATCACTATTCGCATAATTAACTAAACTAATAAACACATCTCTTTAAAACTAGTAATTGTAAAGTGGATCTACAATAGTGCCACAAACATTTAGCTCTTAGCATAACTATTTTAGAATATTCATAGAATCCAGTTCAGAATAATATTATACATTTCCCGATTTACTATTGTATTCGAATAAAACACAACTTTAAGATAAATACATTTTAAGCTTATTATAAAATATTAATTAAAAATAGGTTTTACAAATATCAACTGTCTGATTAACTGTAATTATACATCATTGTTGAATTATCAGTAAGTAGCGACTCTTAAGTGTACAATTGACAAAAATATTAACTTTACATTAATGTTGTATGCAATAAATTAATCTGATATAACTTCATTTTATTTTAAATAATATCAAAGACTGTAAATCCTTTAGCAAAAGAAATAAAGGATATTACAAAAATATTGTACAAAATGAATTATTAATTATTATGAAGAATACTTCAGTTTGATATGAGTGTCACTTATACTCTAAATATAAACTACACATTACAACAACAACAAATTGAAACAATACAATAGCTTATCCAAATATTTATCTACTTGTTATTCTTGATTCCGTTTTTGAGTTTTTTATATTCATTAAACAAGTCTTGAACATCTTTCAAAGATCGCTCGATTTGCTTCACGAAATTCGATGAGCTCTGTAAAAAATGTTTAACCATTAATCAGAGTAGCTATTCATGTATCATTCATTTTATTACAACAGATGATTATTTTTTTGAGCTGTTAGTGATTCTTGAAAACGCTGTTTACTCAAGACTAGCTTTCTTACTGCCGAGGCGTCTGCTGCGGGCGACTCCCGTGTTACTCCCGGAAGGGTAAGTTTTACAAAGGTAAGTATAGTGTGAATAGCCTCTTTGTTCTCTCATGGGGTTACGATGACATTAAGTGACAGTGTTATATAATTTTTGTTGTCCATTACATGCTGGTTTTATTTTGTAAAAAAATATAAAATATATATTAACAATAATTAACTGGAACTGATAAATTACTATAAAACTATTTCGATTTTAATTTACAAATATAATTCACCTTTATATTTAACCACAAAAAGTATAACTATTAAAATAGTAAAAAAATATATTAATATCACAGATGTGTTGATGCATGATTTAGATACAACCTTGATTAGAGACGGACACAATAATATCGTAAAAATCCATAATTTATCATTATTTTTGTTGTGTATCTGTGGTATACTCTATGGTCATATATAGTCTATGGTGATAGTTTATCTATGTGCGTGGCGAAGCCCGCGGAGTTTGTAAAACAATTGAATGTGAATAAAGGCGTGTGTCGATAGCCTTCTCTCTTTTACTGATATTTCGTTTAATTAAATAACGTATATAACATTGGCGACGAGTTTACCCACACATTTTAATTCCAAAATGAATAGTTTTGGAATTTTGTCCACGTTCGATCACAATGTGCAAGAATGGAAGTCATACAAAGGCCGAATTACGCAATGGTTTATTGCAAATGATATCGTCTCGAAAAATGATGCAGTTGGAGCCAAGAGACGGGCGATCTTGCTCAGCGCACTAAGCGACGGTACTTATAAGTTGGCGGCAGACCTGGCACTGCCGAAGGATATCCAAGAAGTACCGTATGATGAGTTAGTGCATTTATTGGATGAGCATTTTCTCCCAAAGATATGTGGATTCAGCGAGCGTTACAATTTTTATGCGGCTGTGCAGCAGCCGGGTGAGTCGTACACGCAATGGGCGTCCAGGCTGAGAGGACTTACAGCACATTGTAAGTTTAGTAACGTCGATGAAGCGTTACGAGATCGATTCGTCATGGGTATGTTAGCAGGACATGAACGGGAGAAGCTGTTCGCGCAGGACATCGACAAGCTGACCCTGGCCAAGGCAGTAGAGCTGGCAGAGAGCGTGCGGTGTGCGCGTGCGGGAGCCGCCAGTACTACGGTTGTCCACGGGCAGCAGGCACCGGTCTTCAAGATCACCAAACAAGGAAACAGTGCTAAAATCGTTAGTGCCGGTAAAATAAAGTGTACAGTGTGCGGTCGTAATAATCACGAGTCATCCCAGTGTCGGTTTGCAAGCTATAAATGCAATAAGTGTAACACCAAGGGTCACCTGCGTAAAGTTTGTAATAAGGTGAATTACGTGTCTGCGGGTGATGTGAGCGGGGATGACGACGACGGTAAGTCATTGTTTAACATACGCTCAGTCCGTGGGGAACCAATGACGGAATCAGTTTCAATTTACGGGAAGAATTTACAATTTCAAATAGATAGTGGATCAGCGGTGACGGTTATATCCGAAAGTACGTATAAAAAGATGTTCAGTAATGTTCCGTTGCTTGATTCAAATAAAAGTTTTTTTAGTTACACTGGCAATATTATACATTGTGTTGGATACGTAAACTTGCCAGTGACGTACATGCAACACACTCACTCACTGGATGTATACGTCATCCGTAACGGCGGACCACCGTTATTAGGCAGAGATTTTATATCAAAATTTAAACTTAATCTGACGCCTTGTCACTTTCTGAGAGGTCAGAGTATGGTGGACCAGTTGCAATTAAGATTCCCAGAACTATTTTCTGATAAGCTTGGTACCTTTAATAAATATCGTGTTAAATTAAAATTAAAGGATAATGTGAAACCGATATTCTGTAAAGCGCGTCCAATTGCGTTTGCGTTGCGTGATAGGGTGGACAAAGAGTTAACACGTTTAGTTGATCTAGGTGTCCTGAAACCGGTATCGCACTCTGAGTACGCGTCACCTATTGTTCCCGTGCTGAAGCACAACGGCTCGGTTAGGTTGTGCGCCGACTATTCGGTTACTATTAACAAACAGCTATTGATAGAACAATATCCTTTACCCACGGTACATGAACTGTTTTCAAGACTGTACGGAGGTCAACAGTTCTCAAAAATTGATTTGTCTATGGCCTATAATCAGTTTGTGTTAGACGAAGAGTCCCAACCAGTTACATGTATTAATACACATCGAGGTCTATTTAATTATACTCGACTAGTTTTTGGGTTGTCTAGCGCCCCGTCTATATTCCAAGCGCTATGGAAACAATACTTTCGGGACTAGACGGTGTCTTATGTTTGCTCGACGACATTTTAGTCACTGACCAAACCCCGGAGAGACATTTGAAGAAGTTGAACATAGTTCTGCAAAGGCTTCAGGATGCGGGGTTAACAGTGCAAAAAGAAAAATGTGAATTTTTTAAAAATGAAATTAAATATTTAGGTTATATAATAACCAAGGATGGGTTACAGAAAGACCCTGCAAAGGTTAAAGCTATAGCTGAGGCGCCTGTTCCTTCCGATATTAATACCCTACAGTCATTTTTAGGACTGGTAAATTACTACAGAAATTTTGTGGCTGGGGCATCCTATATCCTGAGTCCTTTGTATGAACTATTAAAAAAAGAAGTAAAGTGGAACTGGTCTACGTTACATCAACATGCATTTGAAATTAAGAAATGTTTAACGTCTGATCAGGTTCTAACACACTTTAACCCAAATGCCAAAGTAGTGTTAACTGTGGATGCGTCTCCGAATGGCTTGGGAGGTATTTGTCTCAAATAGATAAGGACGGGGTAGAGCGCCCAGTAGCATTCGCTTCCCGCACATTGAACGCGGCTGAGAAAAATTATTCACAAATACAGAAGGAAGCGACTGCAATAAATTTGGTATACGTCGGTTCCATCATACTTATACGGGAGATCAGATCCTTTTATATTACGCACGGATCATAAGCCATTAATATCTATCTTTGGTCCTCATAAAGGTAACCAGAGGTATCCGCTAACAGATTGCAGAGATATGCGATGTTTTTAGGGGCATATAATTACGTTATTGAGTATGTTCGTTAGTGCTGATAACAACGCGGATTACCTTTCTCGGGCAAGTTTGCAGTGTGAGTTAGGACGTGATCGCGCCATGAGCGAGGGCGACAACATCGGCGTACACGCCGCCGCGGCCGCCGCCCCCATTGATCGAGCATCATATGTCAACTTTGTTGTCGATGGCGACATGCCGTTGACTTTGAAGGAGTTACGTAATGCCACTAATGAGGATACGGTTTTACAGTTAGTTGTGAAATATGTTCAAAACGGTTGGCCTAACAAATTAGTGAACTCACAGTTTAAACCATATCATTTGTGTAAGACACAATTGTCCTACGAAGATGGTTGTTTGATGAGGGGCCACAAGGTGGTACTTCCCGAAGTATTGCGCTCGAAGGTTTTAGCAGAGTTACATACTTCACATTTAGGCATGGTAAAAACGAAATCAGAAGCTAGATCACGTTTTTGGTTCCCAGGCATTGATGCGGCGCTGGAAAGAATGTTACATTCGTGTGAAATATGCAAACAGCTACGGCCGTCGCCGCCCCGGGCACCCCTAGCACCTTGGAAGTTTCCACTTACACCATTTCATAGATTACATATAGACTTCCTCGGCCCCTTGAATAATCAAATGTTCTTGGTAGTGGTAGATGCTCACACTAAATGGTTAGAAGTGTACGACGTGAGCAGCTCTACCGCTTCGGCAACTGTTGTTGAAAAACTCTACGATTTTATGTCTAAATATGGATTACCTCACGTAATAGTTAGCGATAACGGTACTGCGTTTACATCCGCTGAATTCACGAAATTTTGTTTATTAAATGGGATTACTCATCTTACATCACCCCCTTACAACCCTGCTAGTAATGGACAAGCAGAAAGCTTCGTAAAAATTGTAAAGAAGGGTATAAAATCAAGTATTTTAGGTTCTCGCAGTAGGAATGAGTGTAAATTAAAATTGTTAAAGTATTTGTTCGATTATAGAAATTCAGTGCATTCCGTCACGGGCTTCTCACCCGCTGAGTTGGTGTTTGGGCGAAAACTCAGAACACGTCTGGATTTAATCCACCCAAATTTAACGTCTACCCCACTCACATCACTAATTAACGATGTTAATAAAAAGCAGTGCTCGCAAATTAAGTACTATGGTGGCAATAAAAACATGTGTATGAACCGGGAGATGAGTCATGTTTAAAAAATATATGAACAATTCTAAATATATGTGGTGCAAAGGTACCATTATAGAAGATCGGTAAAGTGTTGTATTTGATCAAGACCACATAACTTCAACAGATGTCAAAAAGCATAAAAATCAAATAGTTGTGTATAAAGGTATATCTCAACCAGTAGATTTAGATGATGTATTGTTAGACGACGAACCCGGGGACTCTCAGTTGCTTGACAGTGGGGAGAGAGGAAGGAACGAGGTGGAATTGTCATCCTCACCTTCTCCCCAAGATATGAGATGTTCCAGCAAACTGTTGCGGGACATACCCAGGGTTGATTACAAGCAGTTCTTTTAAGATTCAGTTGTATTTATCTATTAGTGTATTTAATAAGGGGAGGGATTGTTGTGTATCTGTGGTATACTCTATGGTCATATATAGTCTATGGTGATAGTTTATCTATGTGCGTGGCGAAGCCCGCGGAGTTTGTAAAACAATTGAATGTGAATAAAGGCGTGTGTCGATAGCCTTCTCTCTTTTACTGATATTTCGTTTAATTAAATAACGTATATAACAATTTTACACCATTATTTTTAAACTTGTTCTTTTTTATTTTAATTATAATGCATTATAGTATAATAAAGTAGTGCATACGAAATTGTAAGCAAGTAGGGCTTGCGCATTATAAGAAGGATGGTTAGGAACCACAAAAATGTCTGTATATTTTAATATTAAAAATAATAAATCGTTTCATAATTGAATCGATATGATTTTATTAGCACTATATCTCTAGGGAAACTTCAATTAAAATATCGACTATAGTTAGTGGTAGGCTCATAAGCTTACTCAGTGCAAACAAACAACAATGATTTTTTTATTTATAACATTAATATAGCTTTCTCACCGTGATTGGGCAGCTCTTCTTGCTGGAAACATGGAAGAAGAGCAGGTCTTCTCCGACGATGATGTAGGAGACTCCATAGCCATCATCTGCCACAGGACCAAAACCACCGCCAGCGCTCACACACTTCGGGTGTTTCTTTAAATCCAACATTGATGTTTGACCTGGTAATAAAGCAAGGATTTTGTTTTGATATGTTTTAGTACGAAAAGCATTTCTCTAAACATTCATTTGTTTTTTTTTTGCAATTGATGGAAAAATAATACCAAGACAATTGTGAGAAAATACTGACCGTGTGGTGTTTGACTTGTCGATAGTCGCCACGGTTCATTGAAGACCTCCTGCAGAAAGGGTGATTCAAGTTCGAGATATTTCGAGACGACATAAAGACAAAAGAGATGACGGTCGATGCCTCTGCCCGCCATGGCGTCTTGGTAGCCCAATTGATGGCGGTGGCTAGCTTTAACGAACAGATCCATTCGCTCTTGAATCTGAAACCAGTTAATAATCAAAGATAATGTTTTTAAACGTTTGCCATCGACAAAACCATAAGATTTTGTAATACATGTCGTTATCTGCGTAGAATCTATAATAAATATAACTTAGATATGTCAACATACCGTGGCATTTGGGTTCTCCATGGACTTGACCCATTCAGAGCTTTCGATGGTACAGGACCGGACGGTTTCTGTGCGGCCCTCACGGAACAAGCGAGTCATTGACGCCTCGTACGTCAAACAGAATCGGCCAGCGTCACGGTAGTACGACAACTGAAGGATTAACTGGATGAAAGCGTCCGGAGACACACGGCAGCTCTTCATGAAACCTGATGATAGTAATAATAATTTATGTTGCTCACTTTTTTACATACACCCAGGCTATTGAACAATATTTTTTGAAGCAGACAATACGAACCTTTTCCGTATTTGGTGTACATTAATATTCTCAAGTCAACATCATTCAATAGTTTCTGAGCCACGTTGTAGGAAACGTCAACGCTCTTGAGAAGGTCCTCATTGCCAAGGTCCCATTGTAAACGAATTGGAGCCGGTGGAGGAGAGTCGACCGTGCCCAACGTGTTGCCATCAGGTCCGTACCTAGAACAATATCATTTTGTTACAATTTTAACATTACAACAAATTACGACAAATAATTGAATACAAGTTAGATATCCTTACCCGACTTCCAATTCGCACCAAATGACGTATTCCCATAAGTGGCCCATAACAGGTGCGTCTGCCCTGTAATATCATATTTGTTTTAGACAACAATAATATTTAAAATTCGATTTTATCATTAAAATATGGTTTTTGATTAAAAAGGTTCGTACCATGTGTGTTCAGAGTTAAATCCAACCTGTAAAATTATAAAAAGTAGATTAATAATCAGCAATAATCAAAGTAAATCTTATTCCATGTTATACGTACTTTCTAAGATTATTTAGACACTGACAAACGATGAAGGAAAACATCGCAAGGAAACCTGCTAATAAGTTTGCACATTGAGCAAGCGTGGTGATGAATGCTCAAAACCTACTCCTTGCGAGAAGAAGCCTTTGGTCAGCTGTGGCCCCTTATAGGCTGATGATGAATAATAAAGTAGGTACTATATAATCAAATGGAAAATAGATCATGGGTATATCGAATTATTTTGTCTAAGTAACGTACCTATATAATATACGGGTATTTTCGTTAGCATATTTGCGTAAGTGCGCTATCAATAGCAATTGCCATGACGTTTGTTGCGCGATGTAGAACTGTATACTAATTGTTTTTTAACGCAGTACATAGATAAGTACACGCCAAGTAAAGGAAACAACAGTCTACAAAATCTGTTTCTATCTGAGTTTGTCGAAGCCAAAAAAATACTTACGAAACCGTTTTTGCTGAAGCATAAGTTGAACGACTTGTCGAACCATCGGTCGTGGCCCTTTCCGTGCAACAGAACTCGACCGAACTCGTCCAGTTTCGAGGGATCTTTTTCGTCATAGCCGTACTCAAGGTCATCTGGAATAAGACATTACGTGTCGAATTGAGGAATCAAAATGCCAACGCTGTAAATTGCTTGGGATATATGTATGGTTCAGAATTCTAATAAAACCTAGCAGATCTTACCTAGTTTACTAAGTTTATAAAATTAAGTATTCTTATAGCTCCAGGACTAACACGTGTGTAACACGAAGTGTTGCAACCATGAACTCTCCTAATTTAGAAGAACTGTAACTTCCTGTTAATATTCGCAATTTGACCCAATGCCAGTATTATGTCAACCCAGTGTCTTGGAGACAAAACAGTTGTAGATAATGGGTATATGACGTCACTTGTCTGTCTATCTTACTTATTCGATTTATCTGGGTTGTATTGTCTAGTACAAAGTTAATGTAATCATTGGTGACACTGTGCTTGTCTTGTGATCGATACTATCGTAGCGATATACTAGTTTTCGTAATTAAAGCTGTCTAGCTCTGTTTAGCTCTAACATTTTCTTTGTCATCTAGCTTAGACTCTGAATCAGAAGAGACTCTGAATCAGAAGAGGCTCTGAACCAGAGCCTACATTCAATGCAAACAAATATACAAACATTTTAATGTTTGCTCTTTATTAAGTAGTATAGATGCTGATTGTGTTGTGCCCATATACAAACGTCCGGGGGCTCCCTCGCGTAGCAGATATACGGTACGTTTATATACGCTACGATAATGACGGGATGAGCTGACAGCGAATGAAATTACGCTAACGTAGCATTGAATACTATTACGGAACTAGAAACAAGGTCGACTCAACATGTGCCGTTGTAAACGATACTATACCGGGTCGTTAGGTACTCCTGCTGCTCGGCTCTTATTAATCGTAGCGAGATGTGTTATAGCCTTCTTTGATAAATTGATACAAACAGATTTTTAAATGTTGAAATATTTTTTTTGTAACCAGCACTTCCACAGATTCAGCCAAACAAACAAAATCTTTAGCTTTATAATAATTAATAAATATTATTTAATTATAATAAATTTTAAGTAGTTTAAATAGATGCAGGACCGAATAATAGTGAACTTTTATTTTTGAAACGTCAAAATTATATTGGTCTTATTATAGGTACCTACTTGTAATTTTAAGATAATATTTGACTTTTTATAGTTCGGAGGTTACTGATTAAGCAGTTATATAAACACTGCAAAGTACTTTGGACTTTGCTTCTTGTAGGTGTATTGGTGTCTGTTCCTACTTTAGACGGCCGTGAATGAATAATAAAGGGCGCGATTATTTTTAAGGCACAGTGACAATTTATTCTCTTTATATTGCAGTAAGCGAATCGAGTATAACGTTAGTGAACTTTGCCGAATACGTTTTTTACTACGAAGTGTACAATTTGATAAAAATATTGAGGTCAATGAGATCCCCAATCTCCACCGAAGGTCATTCTCTTATCATTGTGTACGGATTCACGGAACTGATTTACAGTTCCGTGTCTACAATTTATTTTGCTTTCAATAATAATTAAAATACTGCCCTAAATATTAGTGGAGCGTTTTTAGTATACAATGTAGGTGCAAGGAGCAAAATCTGGCCTTTCTGCTTCAATTAGGCTGCGTCCACACTGAGCATACTACGGGCGTGTGGACACATATTCATTATCAGTGTCAAATCGATTACAGGTTACCTCAAAATTTATATCCAGATGCATCAATTTTAGAGTGGTTATGTGTACAAAACAACAAAGTACCCGTAATAACTTATTTACGGAAAATATTTTTTATAGGACAGGAGAAACCGGTACACGAGAAGACGGATCACTTGATGGTAAGCAATCGGCCTCGCCCGAAACACAAGAGGCGTAACAAGTGCGTTACCTGCCTTTTGGGGATAAGGAATTTGAGGATTTTTAGGGATTCAGAGACTGAGGATATTAAAAAGGGTGCGAACTGGTTACATTGGTTACAGATAACTCGGGTCGGGATTCCGAGCTTTTTGAACCGGGGTTACGACCTAGGATCTCTGTAGCGACCTCCTAAGACATGGACAAATAAAAATCAACAAAGTTGGTCCTCGCTAATTCGTCAATAGCTCGTGATCAGTCAGTTCTAGCTTTCCAAGTCTTCCACATCCACGATACTTCCATTCTAAATAAAGCTGGACAAACGAGTCAAATGTTAAACACCTCACGCGTTTATATAATAACTAGCTTTTACCCGCAGCTTCGCTCGCGTCACAAAAGGATAAAAAGTAGCCTATGTGACATATACCAATACACACAGCGCCATCTATACCAATTTTTTTGTTTTCCCTCGGGAATATCAAATTCCGGATAAAAACTACCCTATTATTTAATCCGGACTTCTAACTTTACGTCTGCAAAATTTCAAAGCAATCAGTTTAGTAGTTACGGCGTGAAAGCGGAACAAACAAACAAACAAATAAACTCACTTTCTGATTTATAATATTAGTAAGGAAGTAAGGATAAAGTCTATTGGTTATTGAGGGATTCACGACTTCTATTGATTTGGTAAGTGACATCAGCTTACCTAAGCATACGTTGAAGGCGGCTCGTTCGATGCAGTGCAAGGAGGTCCGGTTATGTCCTCTATTGAACATGGTCTGCCTGATATGTGCCCAGTGCGACCGCTCACCCGCTGTCAGCGCCGCCACGCGTTCCTCTCCCACGACAGGTTCCGATTTATCATCCAGAATTTGTTGGATTTGTCTAAACAAAACATTATACAATATTTAGTACAATAATCGAAGCAAGACGAGTCATACATTGCTAGCATGAACCACACACGCAATGTCCTCGCCGTAATTAATTATACAATCTACCCAGATGAAGCAATTACCTATATAGGTACAGCCAAACTGACAATACGATGGACGAAATCTAAAAACAACCTGATGTTTTATGTATAATTTAATGTTGTAATCCTAACACTGTGTTAATGTGTATATACCCTAATAACTTTACATATAATGCAAATAGGTTAGAAAACGGCAGCATTGAACGACGACCTCAATTAGCTTGATTGGTAAGCAGTCGAATGCTTGACACTACATACAAGCGCAGTCCACTGACGAAGGGGATTACTTAGATTATTACTACATACTTAACGTGCGCGTAATTACGTAAGACCAGATCCTTCATTAAAATGCTTCGAAATCGTCACATCAAGAAGCAGAGTGGTTTGTTGAAAAGTTTGTTCAATATTAGCATAACTAACGCTAACTAGTTATTACCAACTAAATGTGCTTAGAGTTTCATAATCTGTTCTCCACATCCAAATTGCAATAAAATTGTAAAATGTTTAATGTGTCATATAGACGTAATAAACATATCGTGTCAATGTATAATTATATAATAATCCCAATATTCCTACTGAAATGGAATCTAAACAAGAAAATTTCTAAATGCCGCGGGCAGAAAGGTAGTACGTAATGTATAAACTTACATTTGAATTTCAGCTGGTTTCAACAGGCGTCCTCTTGAATACACGAGCACTTTGTAGTATCTACCTTTATGGTAGACAGTGATGTGGGTCGAGTCCTGATAATGCACGATCTTGTCGCGTTCAATGCCAGGGACACGGACCGTGTTGAATAAGCGTTCGTATTGCCACGAGCATAGAGGCACCATATTCTGTAGCATAATCTGTACGAACATTTACAAATGTATCAACAACATAGAAAATAAAACAGCCAATTTCTATTTATAAACAAACGCGTCCTCGGTCCTCGCTTGCACCAAGTCATTAATTATTGTCACATACGGTCGATTATTGATTATTTTTGAATGAACAGAAAGCTTCTACGTTGTATATCTACATATGAATATGAATTATGCAATCGAATAGGAAACTCCAGTCATAAGGAAGTTCAAGTAAAATAAAGACATTAAAAGTCTAAAGAATGTGGCTGTTTCTAATCGTTATTTAGTATGTAACTGGATTATTAGCATGTAGTACAGACATGACTAACATTTTGTGATCCACATACTTATTGTAAAGTAGTGCTATTGATAAGTGGCGTCGCATTGGTATATTAGGGACTGTTATCAGATAATATCGGTAACTGCGATGCACCAAAAAGCGAATCATCATTATCATAGTCAATTATGATCGGATTGCCTTACAAGTTGATAGCATGTTCCTAACTTATAAAAATGTTAACAAGTTCGCAGTATGATATTTTGAAACTCGGACCTAACCCCCGAAAGGCTGGCAATGCACTTGTGCTCCTGTGGTGTTGCAGGTGTCTATGCGCGGCGCCCATTGCTTACCATCAGGTGATCCGTTTACTCGTTTGCCGTCCTAATTAAACCAAGAAATATGTTACGAACCGGTTCAAGCTCCTGTCTATCAATAAGTCTCCTGAACTTGAGGCACAAATGGATGATAACACCAGCCCTTGCGGCCTGAATGTTAGTCGGTCTCAATAAAATGGCGTCAGTTCCGTAGAAGTTTGAGTTGACCATCAGAGGTGAGCGACCGCGCAGGTACACGTACTCCTCCCACCAATCGGAGACGTAGTTGCTGGACCACCTACAACAAATCGGTATAATTAATTATGAATGGACTAACTATAGTTACCAACATCAACATTGTCTCCGAGTGCAATAAGCTTTCAATTCCAGCACCCAGTGATTTCCATAAATGATTATTAAAATGTCGTGGTGGCCCGGAGGTTTAAGACGCCCGCTCATGCATGAGGGTGCGGGTTCGAAACCTACCAACGGCAAGTACCAATGTGACTTTTCCGAGTTATATGTACTTTCTAAGATTATTTAGACACCACTGACAAACGGTGAAGGAAAAACATCGTGAGGAAACCTGGACTTATAATTTCTGATTATAAGTTTGAAATCGCCAACCCGCATTGAGCAAGCGTAGTGATTAATGCTCAAACCTTCTCCGTGTGAGAAGATGCTTTGCTCAGCAGTGGGCATTTGTAGGCTGTTGATGATGATGATGATGATTATTAGAAAACATTTTTCTTGTTTAAACTCTATTTCATATTGACGATAATCAAGTGTAGTGACGATATAATGTATACAATAATTACCATGACTTTAGCACCAAATATCTTTGTAGTTTTACAGCAATAGTTTCTTCAAATTCCTTAGCTAATCTTTCTACTCTCTTATAGTTCTCATCGTCTAATAGGGGACGAACACTAATCAGGTACTGAAACAATAAAGGTACTTATTACATTGAAATAGCGTCAATTACACATTCTATTATACAAAAACAGTATAAATATTATGAAAAATGAAGACTGATAATCATAAAATACAATTTTTTTTTTGTATATAAAATACGCGCACAATGGCGCTGTTAAAAACATTGTTAAAAATCTAGAGGGAAGTATTAAACAAAGGTAACATTTCGTTTTTCATAACATCATGAATTAAGTCAGTATATAAACTCTTTTTTCTACTTCTTGCTATGTTTTATCATTTGACTGGCACAGATATGTGTAACAGAACTAACAGATAAGATCTGATTTGATATTTGTGTATAAATAAGTTCGACGCGCAAATAGGACTGTCTAGAATCAAGCATTACCCGTTTCATAGTATCCTTAACAGCAGGTAGCGGTAGTCTTGGTAACGATCCTTGAAAGCTATACAATTTGGGTTTGTTCCACCCGGATAATACTTTAACCACACTAATCCACAGCATCGTTTTCAATGAAATCTTCGATCCTGGGGCGCGAGATTCATACATCCAACCCTTAAAAAGAAAATTCGTCAGAAACATGGTAATTACGTTCAAATTTCGTTACGATATGTATTAGACGGTCAAATTTTACCTTGTACATTAATAGCAGTTTGAGAAGGTATCTCATGAGAAATATCACACTAAGCCACATGGTAAGAGCTGCCAGTAAACAAGCGATGACCTGCCACATCGTGGAGTTGCTGAACAAAACATAATGATAATTATAAAGTTACTCTAGCGTTACACATAAATATAATGCAAAAATAAAATATACATCTAGATAAATGTTGCAGGCATTGTCCTTGACTCCAATGGTAGTGACTTTTGATCTATGACAATTTGAGATCAGCGATTAGTTGGTAGGTAAATGCTTAGTTATTCGTAACATCTTATCCTCATAAGAAAATAACTTATTTGTAGTTTAACATTGCATATGTTGGCTGTGAATGCTAATACATAGTTATTGTTTAACACAATACATTTATGTATTTTTTAAATATGAATTACCTAACTAATTTTAATATATTTTTACAAAAGGCAAAGCATTATAATATTTAACTCATTTCTAGTACTTAAATAGATTTTATTCTTAAAACACAGGTATTTGTAATCAATAAATAGCACGTTTTATAATAATTGTAACTGGAAAGCGAATACTTTATGGGCTATTAAAATATGTTACTAATGGTTACTTCAATGATTTAAGGCGAATTAATACTTTTATTTTCAGTACTATGGTGGATAGAGATATAGAGACAGGCTCAGCGACTATACTTGATTTACTATTACTATTACTTGATAGAACCACACTTGTAAGATTTTTGTGAATGTAATTAGTTGATGTCCTTGTTGCGATAGTCATGATAAGTAATAAAGCACGTACAAAGAAATTGGAAGTATTCTGAACATAATTTAAGCTATTCAACTATAACTTGACTAATTTTTGCGTCATTATCATTTTACAGTGGGTGCGTTTGGCACTACCCTCGGCGTAAGAGATAAAACGGTTTTAATATGTCAACAATTATCTTATATCTTCATTAAAAGAAGATTGATGAAAACGGATACGATTATATTGTTGTCATGATAATCAGCAGACGGCGTTCGAAATATTATAGATTAATTTATCGTATTACATCGATAAGAACCTACGGCAATGCCCTGAAATGCCTACCTGTTTCTAAAATAGCTTTACGTAAAACGATTCTGTTTACTTTTCTTAGTTTATTTTTTTAGGGAAGGAAATTACTGGCTTTCTTTAAAGTTCAATTTTTTTCTAGAAAGATTACCAACAGCTCCTTTTATTCGAAAGAGAAAACATTTAATTTAATTGTTTGCGTTGATTGAATGGTCGAGTAGACCGACTATTAGACTGTATTGAAAAAAATATTTCAAGGGTGGAAAGTTTACGTTTTAAGGAGTAACATCACGTAACATTGACACCAAGTACAATTGTACATACATATTTCGAAAAAGGGAGGGGTGCCGCAGATTTACTTTTGAGTCGAAGCCCCCCTCCACACCATTCAAATTTCGCTGATAAAGTCGTAGGTGACTGTAGGAACTCATTCCATATGAAATAAACTGAATAAATTATAGGCTTTAAATTTATATTTATAATACTATTGTACTTACCCAGGTAAAACAGATAACGCTTTTTGTACTAATCCAAATGGTACACTAAATCCCGCGAAATGCGCAGCCGCAAGTAGTGTCCACAGTACGTAGAGGGACTGTAGATGTCCCGGGTAAACGCCATTGTGTACACTATTCTGAGAAACAAAAAGTTCATATTAAATTACAGTCCGTAAAAATTGTTGACTTATTTAAGTAATCATAGTATTTAAGAATGCTGGTCTTAACCCATTTTGACCTACTGTACAACATAATATGGTACAGTAAGTTTATAATATTTTTATAAACTTACTGTTGGCCTACCCACAAATTAATATTTTATTCTTTTAATTGTAACAATTAGCTCAGAGTGTTAGTTTTACATTAACAATAATTCAAAAGTATTTTTATGCAAAATTCGTTAAAAATTTTATCAAAGACACCCAGCGGGGACTGCAGGAAATATTTACAATAACTTCGAACAGGTAAGTTCCATATTATTTATTGTAAATAATATTATTATTCGATACTATTTTGCAGAGTAGGTCTAAAGAAATATTATACATGTAAACAATTTTCGGTAAGGTAAGTTTAGTAAGATATATTTGTTCCTAAAGAAAGTGTACCGCATATGGTACAGTAGGTTTATGTAACATCAAAATCTTCTTGTACCTACTATCTAGTACTAGTTATCTAGTTTTATCTAAAACTGAATTTATTTTATTTTTATTTCAGGCCACGGACACTGCACGAAATTGCAACAGTTCTCAAGGAAGATGATGATATGAGTAACCAGGGAAGAGATATTTTTTTTACTACCAGCACTATACTGACAGTATCACTGCCCATGAGGATCGGACTGATGAAGACTCGTGTGGAAGATAACATCGACATAAATAATTTGCCTGTTGAGACACAAAGAAGCAAAAAAAGGAGGGAGGCTTCTACGATTATCGCGTCTCTAATGATGTAATAATTTGTAAGTGCCAAGATAATAGCATGGTTTCAGTGTGTTCCAATGCAGTTGGCATCAATCTGAATAGTACATAAAACTGAATGCTATATGCAGCAACCAAAAAATAAAATATCTGTACCTTATCCCGGAATGTTTTAATGTGTACTTATCACACAAAAAAATAAATAAATTCACTAATTGAAAAATCTTGTATATTTGTATGCATATAGTCCTACTGTACCCGATATGGTACACCCCCCCTACGTCTCCCCAGTAATTGTAATTTTTTTCTAATATTTTTTTATTGTTGTTTGTACTTCTCTTAATGAATATAAGTTAAAATAACAAAAATGTTTCAAGAAAATAATTATCGGTCTAAATGGGTTAAAACTGTATTTATAAAATGTTCGAGTAGGTAGGGTATTTTTTTAATACCAATTGCATTCAATACAATGTCTCATAAAAACAATGGGTAATACTAATAAGAAGCTTAATCTTATTAATTAATTATGCCTTCGTCTAGTGAGTAACATTGCGATTACTTAGCATTAATTTACAATCACTGAAATTGAACTTTACTATTGCCCCCTTGCACATGGCCATTTTACTGAATGCTAAGTAGGCATACTTAATACAAAATGATTAGATTTAGCTTTAGTGGATTTCGAGTGAAGAGGATAATAATAAATAACAAAGCAAATTGCCATAATAATTAAGTCCATTATATTACAAATCCGGATATATGTATTATTCCAAAGTAGAATAACAGGGAAAAGTAAATAGAAAACTGCTGATATCAAATCAAAGCCTGCTAAGGATGCAGAGTCAATTTCGAATTTATCAGTTATCGCTGTTAGAAAAGTATGAATACTATGTTTCTATGAAGTATAGCATGTAGGTAACATAAGTGTACTGATATTAACATTGGGTAGATTAGATGACCTTTGATAGACCTATGTAACAGTCTATGTGATACTTAGTTGGATTATATTGTAGGTACTTACTCTGAAGCGAGCTAGCCGTTTCTTCCAAGATCGTATACCTGATTCCCAGACCAGATAAAGTACTTCGCGATCAAAATTTACATCCCACCCGTCATGAGTGATCGCGAATGAAAACGCAACGGCTGAGTGCGCTTCAGCCATCTTGTTTTAGTGGTCTAAAACAAACAAATATTTCTTTTTTTAATACTAAACACAATAATTTTATACTTCTGCTTTTACGTAGATAAAAAAAGTACAAGCATTAGCTAAATAAAATTTGCCAGAGCCCGAATTTTATTCATAAAAATTATTTATTACCCACATTTTATTCATCAAAATTAATTACACATTATAATATCAATTTACAAATTGCATAATAGTATTAAGTTTACACCTGAAATAGCTTAGAAACATCAAAAAATTATTACTATGCAATTTATTAAATTAATATTCTTTCTCTGCTCTGCTGTAATAGTAACTTGTACAATAAATGTACACTGATACACATACTTTAAAATAGGTATGTCTAAGTATAAGTAAACATAATTAAATTGTATGTGATTATAACTGTAGTCTATCTATAAATATTCTGATAAATAATTCCATTATAGTTTGAAGGTGATAAGATTCACCTAGAACATATTACCCTGAAAGCGACCCCATAACATGAGGCCTATAACATAACTGTTGAAAAGTGGTTGGTACAATACAAATGTATGACAACTATTACTAAATAACAATAATTATTTATATTTTTAGCTCAGCCTGATGCACATAAATAAAAAGTGAAACAACACAGCACAATTAGTTTCAAAACTCATTAACCCATTAGAAGTCACTGTACTTATATGAGTACACCTAAAATTCTATGCATAAACTTAATATCTCTTATATTTTTGTAGGCTAACCCTATTATCTTAATTTGTAGGCTAACCCTATTATCTTAATTCCTAACTGTCAAATACCAAGCGGTCACCGGTGACCGCGACCTATTGTTCTTTAATTGTGTCTATAAAACCGGTACTCGACGAGTTAAATTGTCTAACTATATTGATAAATTATATGAGGGTAGTGCGATATTTTTTTCACATTATTTACATTGCCCGCCTATCTACTTCAAAATCAAACCCTACGTGGCAGAAATGTGCAATCCTGCAAAATGGAGTTGGACACTATCCACTAAAAATTTAAAAGCTACTACGATGTATCTTTTGTCATTCAAGAGTACCTACATTGGCAATGTAAAAAGTGCTAAAACACTTTATGTAGAAATATCGTGTTTTGAAAATTTTCATACTTAGGTGGTCAGTGTACTCAATTGAGTACACCCCTGAATTATCATGAAAAATACTATTTTCCATTTTTTTCTCGCATTTTCTGTTCTTATACTCTCAGTTGATTACGAAAATAAACAAAAGAAAAAAAAATATTGGTGCTTTTTATTTGACCTTTAAACTGTCAAACACCAAGCGGTCACCGGTGACCGCAACCTATTGTTCTTTAATTGTGTCTATAAATACGGTACTTGACGAGTTAATGGGTTAATCATGAGTAATTTATAACATGATGTAATTCTATAATCTAAATTTATTTAGATCAGTGATATCGCAAAGCTGAATTCATTGTTCACACAAATAATTTGATAAATTAAACTTTCTTACAGACAGCAAACAAATACATACTTTATTAACATGTTATTAAGTAGCAATGTGTAATGTGTATGGCAAAAGACTCACAACTTTAAAAATGGTAAAAAGGAAGTGGAACAGGACTGTATGGAAACTCAACTGCTTCTCACTTCATAGCATCAAGGCTTTTTCAAAGTTAGAGAATTAAAATATCATATTACTATGGTACAGGAATATTAATAAACACTATCATATTTTTCTTCCTTCAAACTTATTAATAGTAAACAATGAATGCTACCTGTATATACAAATAAATTCTGCAAGTATGATATTGAAGATAAACTAAACTAAGCCCACATTACATGTTATGTATATTTATGTCCAGGTAAGCACATGAATATGTGTAATGTTGCTTTAATTAAATAATTCTTAATGGAAAAGGATAACATGCATTGGAAGTAGTTGTAGCTAGCTATGTATATTATACTTATGTCATTGGCCTTGAGCCTAAGAGAGTACTATGTAATCAGATTGTTTGACAAAGGTGTTTTATCAAAAAATATTTTTGTTGTTGATGATCTCCTTAACAATAGCATATACCTCAATAAACTTAAGGTATTTTTTTAATATAGACCTCCTACTTCAATCTATTATTAACTGTGAGTGCCATTTATGTATAGGATCCAACTCCTTTCAGGACACCAAATGTGTTTTTAGGGATAACAAGGGAATCTGCAAAGAGGTTCTAAGCATCACTTTCAATGGTAATATGAAATTTAAAAACTTAAACAGAAAGTCAGTCAAAAATGAAAGTCCTTCAAGCAATGTGAAAGTGATCAATGTTATATAAACTATTACTTATTTATTTTCATTTAATAAAAGAGTTGTACTCCTTTTAGAGGGTAGCCGGACATTTCAAAGGCTATAATTTTTCTTTATGTACCCTTAAGAAGTTGTTTAATAATAGTTTTCTGTTGAACAGTCTATTCACGTGAACGAAAAATAACCATGACGGAAAATAATAATTGGGATTAAAATATTATGCTACCTAGTTTGTACACAAGAGAAATCTGTGCACACATTCGCATGGCATAGGATATAAATACGCGTTCGCTTCGCTACACGCACACACGCTTAGCAGGTGTCAAAGTCTAATTTGAGGAACACGACGGTTTTACGTAAATTCGCAACAATCGCAACACGACGATAATCCTCATCTCTTTTTAACTATTTAATCCGAATATCGTATAGAGCTATCAACGAATTTAGTGCTAAACTAAGAATTAGATTCACATGGTCAAGTCACATGCTGACCACGTATATGAAATTTAACATCGAAAAAATATGTCCAGCGACGTGAACGTTATTTTTGTTTTCCAAAATTCTTTAATGAAATTAACTACAAAACCCATTGTTATTTGCTTCTAAAGTTATAATTCGTTACGAAATATAAAATATAATATTTTTCTTACCTTGTATCTAAGAACAATTTATTTACGAGCACCAATATGTAGAACGCAGACAGGTACTGCTGGTACAGTAAAATAACCGTACCTTGCTAGTTACTTTATTTACACACCACCTTCCAGCATTTTGCTGTTTTTATATTGTTACAAAAATAAATTAGAAAAGTATTTTCAAAAATTATCAGTTTAAAGCATTGATTCAAATATATTTACATCCGAAATAAATAACAGAAACTTCAAAATCAGACAATACGTGCCCTGTAACCAAAGAGTAAGCGTAGAACTAGAACTGCAAGCAAGCAAAAGCAAGCAAGAGGTCGACACGTACGTAAGATTGTTCTAGGGATGTGAATAATCAAATATCGATATTACTAAAAAAAAGAATGAAATAAGTTTAATTATATCATTATTTTGCTAATTTTACAAAGAAACATATTCCTCAATATTTTAACTATAGCACATAGATAATCTGCCAGCGTCGTGTCTGTGTAAGGCAAAACAGTTTTATATTTGAGCTTAAGTATGTCATGTATTAGCAATCCAGCATCATCAGCAGCAGCTGTTAGTTTTATACGCCTTTCCCTTTTTCTGTCGTACTGCTCGGTTCATGGTACATCAAGCATTGTGAACGGCAAATATTTTAAGCTCAGGCTAAGAAATTAATCAATACTTTTCTATGATTCATTTCATTCCATCATTTCATATAATAAATTTCAATAATCAATAATACCTGCTAACACTATAAACTAAGAGAACATATTTTGTGTGATTGTATGCATATTTGTAATTCTCACACAAGGAGTACTGGACTGATTTCAAAAATTCTATATTAGTATATTTAAAAAGTCTGTCTAAATCACTTTTCCAAACGTAGATTATGGAAATATCTAGCGTATTTTGGAGTGGAGGCTGTATCTAGACAAACAGTGTAAGTACCCCCAGCGACTGGAGTGACGTCATTAGTGAGGTGGTTAGTAGAGATTAGATGCATATCACTTAAATTCGACCTCAGAAGCGTGCCATTGGAGATACTTATGTTAAGCGGAGGATGGGATCGGGCTGATGATCACGATGATGATAATCTATTTCATATGCCTTATAACACCATTGATATGCATTTATTCCCCTGGTGACTTGGAATAAGTAATTCACATGAATGTTAGACGACAGGGAGTGTGAAAACAAATACGCTGTAGGGTCAAATGTAAGTCTATTTCTAATTAAGTGGCAGATCGATACGTTTATGAAACTGCCAGCCCCTCAAAAAGGTTGTAACAAAAGCGTCGTAGAATGAATTATTTCTCCAAGGACGACATTGGATTCTCCATTTTTCGTTATATATAATGTCACCCACAAATTCGCCAAGCCAAACGATAAGATAAATTTATTAAAAAAACACTATGATTAAAAGGTTAAACCGCGGTTACTACGAAATAAAATTCAGCTCGTAATTTTCTCATACCAATGGATATGCCATAAGGATTATTTCATTCATTTAATAATATGTGAATACCTCTTCATTTATTCATGACAATAAAATTATGTACTTTTTAAATTAAATTATTTATCTTCCTTTATTGTTCAGTATTTAAGGTAGGAAAATATCCCTTCATTTTGCATTATCGTGCTAAGCATTTGCGACACCTAATATTGTAATTAGAACTAATATCAAGTTTTGTTATGTAGATTTGGTCATCAAATATTTAAATATAAATATGCAATAAAGTATTATTTATGCATGAAAATACACATGTTGTTTTCAAGGACTTTTCGAAATATCGATATTCGGCCTACATCAAATGCTGTGCCGCACTAAAGTGTTTTAATATGTCGGATATAGAGTTCTTTTTTTAATATGGCCAGAAATATTTAGTCTGGCAATTCTAATTTACTGTCAAAAATTTTGGGTGGCCCAGTAAAACTTAAAATCCTATGCATTGGTGGTAAGATAGAATTCTGAAAATTGAGTGTATTATTTATATTACATTCTATATTTTATTATTTATTTATTATTACTAAATGCGTCCCAAGAATGTCTAGAACTAGGATAGGTATCTGTAGTAATATG